CGCCACTTCCGGTTTTCTGGTGGTTTATTGGAGATAGGAGTCTCACAGTCTCTCCTGCCCGGGCTGGCTTTGAACCGCGATCCTCAGATCTCAGCCTCCTAAGTAGCTAGGATGACAGGCGTGAGCCACCAGCGCCCGGCCTTTTGAAATATATATATATATATATATATATATATAATTTGGTCGGTTTGGGGGCTTGAACTCAGTCTGGGTGTTGTTGTCCCTGAGTTCTTTTGCTCAGGGCTAGGGCTCTACCACTTTGAGCCACAGCTCCCCATCTGGTTTTCTGGTGGTAGTTCGTTGCAGGTAAAGAGTCTCACAGATTTTCCTGCCTGGGCTGGCTTTGAACTATGAACCTCAGGTCTTAGCCTCCTCAGTAGCTAGGATGACAGGCGTGAGCCTCTGGTTTTGTGTAGGACATCTTAAATGATGAATGAATGTTATTCCTTTGGGGGAATTTTTAACTTCTCACCTCTAACACACACATTAAGCTCTCCCTGGTTTTTCTCCTAGCCTAACTCCTATCTTAAGGCTAGGTGGTTTGGTTCTGTTTGCTTGGGGGTGGCCAGCGGGCAGGAGACCTGGGCTGTGGCTGTTACTGAACTTCTATCATCCCACAGGTGATGAGACCCAACCAGAGGCAGGCCCCATGGAGGTACTTTGTGCTCCTGACAACATGGACGAAGACCCCATGCTGCTCTTCCAACCCCGTGACTAGGGGCAAGACCACAGGGCCACCCAATCACAGGTCAGCACGTAGAAGAGCGTCTGAGAACAAGACCTATGCCCGTGAGCACCAGTGGGGTTCTGTCTTAACTGTCCTTTAAGGGCAATCCAAACTACAGTCTATGCTTCCCGGCCTTATTAAACAGTAGAAAGGACATACTGGTTTCCCCTCTTGCTTCTGGGTTTTTATAACACCAGTGAGCCTGAGCTGGGAAGGTGGCTCAGTGGTAGAGCGCTGACTTAGTGTGCATGAAGCATTGGGTTCAATTCCTCAGTAACACACACACACACACACACACACACACACACACACACACACACAGAGAGAGAGAGAGAGAGAGAGAGAGAGAGAGAAAGCTGGAAATGGCGCTGTGGCCCAAGTAGTAGAGTGCTAGCCTGGAGCAAAAGCTCATAGACAGTGCACAGGCCCTGAGTTCAAGCCCCAGGACTGGCAAAAAAAAAAAAAAGCATTAGGCATGAATCATCATACTCTGCTAAGACAATAGTGTCACACGGGACAGGGGTGGAATTCCAGACAAGCTCATCTCCTTTTTTGTGGTCAGTCATGGGGCCTGAACTCTGGGCCTGAGCGCTGTCCCTCAGCTCTTCAGCTCAAGGCAGGCGCTCTACCACTTTGAGCCACAGCGCTACTTCTGGATTCTTCTACTTATGTGGTGCTGAGGAATTGATAGCAGGGCCTCATGCATGCAAGGCAAGCACTCTACTACTGAGCCACCTCCCCAGCCCAGAAGCTCATCTTCTAACTGTGATCTTGAACACAGCACAGGGCAAGCTGATGCAGCCAGCACGTTGCTGTGCTGTGCTCTTCTGCTGTGTGCCCACCTGCAGCTCTCCTGCACGCCACTGGGGAACATTTCTATTTTCGTGGCATATCCCTCCCTGTTTTCCTTGGTTCAACATAATTTAAGACCCAATGAGCCAAGGGCCGGTGGCTCACGCCTGTCATCTTAGCTACTCAGGAGGCTGAGATCTGAGGATCCTAGTTCAAAGACAGCCTGGGCAGGAGCGTCTGAGACCCTTACCTCCAATGAAGCTCCAGAAAACCGGAAGTGGCGCTGTGGCTCAAGTGGTAGAGTGCTCACCTTGAGCTGAAGAGCTCAGAGACAGTGCCCAGGCCAAGTTCAAACTCCACAACTGACCAAACAAACAAAACCCCAGATTCCTTGGTTGGGAGTGGGGGCAGGGAGGCCTTCACTGAATTGCTGGCTTAGCCACGGCTCCAGAGTTCTTCCTCTAAGGGATGGAGGACTTGGATGAAAAGGGTCTAGAACCCCAGGGAACACCTCTAGGCGCGCACGACACCCTCTTCCCGGTTTGTTCTTGGCTTCTTTGTTAAATTCACCAAACCCAGGCCTCCTCTGCTCTCACTAAGCAAAAAGGGGCTGGGTCCCCCCAGTGCACATCGGGAAGGAAACACCCATAGACAACACCTTCCTCGGGCACCGATTGTGTCAGGAGTCAATCCAGACACTGGCAAAAACTTCCCTTAAGTGGGCAGCTGGCTCCCAGAAGCCAGCACGTCCTGGAAGCACTGCATTTTCCACCAGCCTGGCATGAGCCATTCTCTGGGGAGCCCTGGGCTGGCTCTGGGGAGAGGAGGTGGGAACCAAGGCCTGGCACACTGGGTTCATCTACTAGTCCCTCGAGGGAAGATGAGAGAATTCCCGAGTGGCTTCAGGCTGCCCACTCTCTGGGCCTGGCTTCCCACGCCAGATCACGGGGGGAGCATTGCATCTGGATGGGCTTCTAGGGGTGTAAAAGCCCCTCAACTCCCCAGTGTGGGTTTCCGGGGGAGAGGGGCAGGCCTTGTTAGTCAAGAATCTTAGGCTCAGGGGCTGGGAAGGTGGCTCAGTGGTAGAGTGCTCGCCTAGCACGCATGAAGCCCTGGGTTTGACTCCTCAGCACCACAGACACAGAAAAAGCCAAAGTGGCACTGTGGCTCAAGTGGTAGAGCGCTAGCCCTGAGCAAAAGAAGCCCAGGGACATTGCCCAGGCCCTGAGTTCAAGCCCCAGGACAGGCAAAAATAAAAAAGGACCCCAGGCTCCATTCAACGGCCTGGCTCTGGCCTGTCCTCAGGAAACAGACAGCTGGGCAGCATTGAGGCCAGGAGCCCCACAGGACAGAGACGCAGAGGTGAGAGGAGGCTGGACCGAACTTCCCGTGGACCACAGAGCCAAGTCTGGGCACTGTAACCAGGGAAGGTCCATGCTAGGGACAGAAGAGGGAAGCAGTCCTACCCCAGGTGACACGGGGTTGGGACACTTTCCTGCTGGCCTTCTAACCAGGGCCTGGGGCGGGAGTGTCCCCCCTCTTCTCCCTTCTCAGTTCTCCCTATGACGGTTATATGAAGGGGCCTGCTCAGCCTTCCTCCTGGTCTCTCCCCTGGGGTCCCCCCCAGAGCTTCACTAAAATCCTCTCCCTGCCACTGTGTCCTTGAGAGGTGACCATAGAGCTGACCCCATTAACTGAGTTCAGGTCGGCGGGTGGCAGCCAGGGGTACATACCCCAGGGAAGACGGAGGAGGAAGGGGTCGACTCCTTGGCAGTGGGGGTCTTGGTGTCTGGGAGTGGCCACCTGCAGACCCCCGTGGGAGCCCTGAGGCATAGAACCCCCCCTTCCCCTGCCATCAGTCCTCCAATCACCAAGAAAAAGCCACCAATGATGATCTACCAGTTCCTAATGATCCAGACATGTGGAAAACAGACTCACTTTTTTTTTTTTAAAGAAGTTGCCATGATATTTCTTGGCAGTTTATTCTCATGTGTTAAAACCAGATCCAAACACTCCCAGAAGAACATGTATGGTTCTGAATAAAGTGCTTGGGGGGGGAAGGAGGGGGAGAGAGAAAGCAACTTATTTATTACCTGGACATTCTTTTCTAGTTTGTAAGTTCTGGGTTACAATTTGGACACAAAGGAGAGCGGAAGCCCGATGCTGTTCCTCCTCCCTCCATCCTCGTGCTTCTGGAACACGGCACCTGTACACGGTGGTAATAATGAATACATCTCCCTTCGCTCAGAGAAGAAACCAAATCAAACTATAAAGCACTTCTCTCCAGCACTGTTTCTACGCCCAGGCAGGATCTCTCCAGAATAAGTGTCAGGGTGTTAGTTTCCTGAGCCTTCGCTATCTAGGTTCAAGATTGTCTCAGCAAAGCAAGTATTGGTTTCTTGATATTTACCTGGTACTTTTAGATACCAACACTAGAGAGTATTGTGTTTCCAATGTCAACTAAGGATTTCTTTTTCCCCCAGTAATTAAAAGTGACAAGGAGTAGGCCCTAAAGAAGGCTGAATTCCTAAATAAATTGGTTTTCTTACATTGAGCACTCCTGGGATCTGCATATAATCCAAGTTCCTGCTGGGGCAGGTTTTAAAAATCAGTAAATACCCTGGAAAAATAAAAATAATGCGGACATCTCCGTGTTTGAATCTTGGGAGGAGGGTCATGTTGAGAACAGGAAGCGTTGCATTAAATACATCTTAAAAGCATTCATTCACAATCAACCATGTGAAGCCTTCCAACCAAGGAAGGTGGGAATTGGAGAGAGGGCGCTGTGTGGTGGGCGCAGCCCCTCGGGAGCAGCCGGTGGGCGGGTGTGGGGCCCCATCGGGGGGCAGACACAGTGGCACGCTTCAGTCAGGAGCAACTTCTGTCGGGTTCACCGCAGAGCGACCGCAAGCAGCTGGAGCTGGTGTCACGCCAAGGGGTCCAAAGGGCTGCCAAGAAGAAAGACATCATCTACGATCTTCCTGGGGGGAAGAGTCTCGTCCTGCCCACGAGCATCTTGCGGCAGGTTTCTCGGCGGGGCACCCTGTCCCTTCCTTCCAGGGATGGGTCGCTGAAACCTTGGGAGCTTCGCAGTGACACGACACTGCGGCTTCAGAGAGCACGCGATCCGACTTCACCAAGTGAACACCCCCTACTTGTAGCTTGGGGCCGGAGCTTTCCATAGCAGCGGCGGGTGCTTCCTGCTGGCCCAGGGTAGGCCCCCAGGACTTCTCTCCAGCAGAATTCGTTGCCTCGCTCGCTCCACCCTGGCCTTCGGACTGGGGGCACCTGAGAATGGGATGATGGGGCTGCAGGAGGCTCAGCGCCTGCGCACACCGTGGCAGCCAGGCGCGCAGGTTCACACAGCACCAAGGACAGAGCCGGCTGACAGCCAAGTTTGTTTTTTTCCTGTGAATTTTTCTTTTTTTGGTCTTTGTTTTTATAAAGAAAAATCTATGTAAGTTGAGGTTCAGAAATGCATATATATATATATATATGTATATATTTTTTTACTTACAAATATTCATCTGACCAAAATTCAACATAACCTTTATGGAACACTAAACAATTGCTTTGTTTTAAAATAACATTTCATTCAAACTGTATATAATTCAGTAAAGTTTTTTTTTGTTATTTTCTTTTATACAGCAAGCAATGCTTAAACCCTGGAAAATCTGTAGAAAAGAGATTTTCACACAAAATAAGAAAAGAAAAAAATCTGAGGTATCCCTCACCCACACATACATTCAGTTGACTCCTGTGTACACACACACGCACACACATGTGCACACGCACACACATACGCACACTCATTCCCACCCACAAAGTGGCTGCAGCATAGGCAAAAAATTGTAGGTCCAAAGGAAAATGATTGATTGTTCTAATAAAGAGTCCAGGTAGCTCAGAAAAACCAAACCAAACCAAAATACAATGTTAATAGTCCTCTGAGGAAAATACTACCTCAAAAAAAAAAAAAGTTCTCAAGATGAATTTGAGATCTAAGCCTACTAAATTGCTTTTGCAAAACAGCTCCCTGCAGTCCAAGGTGACTTGTGCAAATAGAAGGAATCAAATGAGGCTAGTCCTGTGCATCCTTAGGCCAGGACCAAGGGACACTGGCAGGTGCCGGGCTGGGCCGGGCCAGGCCGGGCCGGGGAGCTCCAATCACGCCAGGTACTGCTGCAGTGCGGTCTTTGCCCTGGAATCACAAAGGTCCTGTTACCATCATCTCAGAGGCAAAAAAACCCCAGGGCCAATGATAGCAGCTGACATTTGAAAAGGCTGATCTCCAAGGGAACCTGGGGAACCCAGCTTCAAACCCAAGTCGGGCTGAATCTTTCTGCCTGGCGCTCTGTCAGATGGCTGGTTAAGCCCACCGTGGCTCGGGGTCTACGAGTTTCCTGTGATGGTGGCACACAGCTGTGATGAGTGAAACTCCTTGGTGGTGTCTCAGCACCAGAGGAAGTTACTTAGGACTCTGGGAGGCTGAGAGAGGAGGAGAGCTGAGTAGGCAAAGGTGCTGAGGGGTTGGCTGGAGGCTGTCTCATGGTTGAAAGGCCTCCTCACACTTGGCCAACATGGGCTGTAGGTTGTCATAGTGACTGGCAGAGAGCAAAACACGGGATGGCCTTACCCAATCCTTAGCAAAGTGGCCTCCTTTATGGGAGAATCCTCAAGCGTGGTGGATTTTCAAGAGGATGCAATTGAGGATGAGGAAGGCTGCGTTTATCTGTGTCTGTGGTACTAAGGAATGGAACCCAGGGCTTCATGCATGTCAGGCAAGCACTCTACCACTGAGCCACCTTCCTGGCCCTGCATTTCTATTCTAACAGTCAAGTGGCCTCTGGACTTTCTCCAGATACCACCGGCCCGAGCTCACTAACTGCTGGACAAGTGAGAGGCTATAATAATCTCATTATTACTTCTCTCACTCAAATGTCATAGTTGGTCCATGGGAAATCCAATTCAAACCTTTCATGAAAGAATGTAACACAGCCCAGATAAAACAAGGATTGTAGCTGGGAGCTGGTGGCCCACACCTGTGATCCTAGCTACTTAGGAGACTGAAATCTGAAGATTGCGGTTCAAAGCCAGCCTGGGCAGGAAAGTTGTGAGACTCTTATCTCCAATGAGCCACCAGAAAACCAGAAGTGGCGCGGTGGCTCAAGTGATAGAGCATTATCCTTGAGCTGAAGAGCTGAGGGACAGCACCCAGGCCCAGAGTTCAAGCCCCGCGACCAACTGAAAAAAACAAAACAAAAAACAAGGCTCTTTCCCACTGCTACTCACTTGTCACAAAGGTTTGAGTCTGGCGACTGACTCAGTTTATGGAGGATATCTACGATGCCCATGTCTCGTAATTTATCCTGGCGTTCCTGTGAACCTGTAAGATGAGCACCGTCAGGTGACAGGGAACGAGATGCAGGCGGCTGCTGAGCTCAAGTCTCAGCACAGTGCTTCCCTCCTCTCTCCTCTGCCTCCCGTCTGCCCCAGTGTAACTGGATTGCTCCCTCCCTCCCACCCTCCCTCCCTTTCTCTGTCCTTGTCCTTCCTTTTGTTGTACTAGGGACTGAACTCTCAGTTCATGCATGCTAGGCAAGGGCCCTACATTTGGGCCACTCTCCAGCCCTTTTGTTCCAGCCTTGAACTTGCAATCCTCCTGCCTCTGCCTTCTCAGTAGCTGGGATTATAGATGTGCTCAACCACACCTAGCCTGTCCTACACTTCTAAGTGGTCTACGCCTCTTGGCTCTCCTTCTAGCAGTCCATCCTGGACTTCATTCTGTGAATGAAGTCATGGTGGGATTCTTCAGCCTGGCACAGACCTGTCATTCTTTTAGGACGGACCAGCAGCTTCCTGCTCCAAAAGTTCTTGTTTTCTACTCTCCTGCTCTCTCCTGGCACTGTCTGCTACTGCCTCTTGGTAGTAGCACAATCCACACCACTCTGTTCTTTCCCCATCTAAGAGCACGCAACCCCCCAGCAAGCCAGACTCTAGGCCTGGATAGAGAGCAGATACTGGCATTCCAAGTTTCCCAGGAGACTGGGAATGGTCCAGCCAATCCAGCACTGACACCCGGGGCTCTCTGCCACCCGTGCATGCCTTGCTGGACCCTGGACCCACCCAGGGAGCACGAAGACCATCTATGCCCACCATCTACCCTTCGAGATGGATTTAGTTGGCCTGAGGTGACGCTAACACACAGCCAAGGATCTCTGAACTGTATGGGCTCTGTATAGATGGACACCACGCGCCCCCTCTGCACCTTGCCTCTCCGACTGTCCTTAAGTGCACTTCTTTTGCTGATAACCGAAGACCCACCTGTCCCGCCTCGTGCTCTCCTCTCACCTTCCTCTCGCACGTCTTTCCTCCTGCACGGGGAGGGATGAGCACGTCTCACCCTCATGATTCTGGGGTGCTTGTTTGACACCCCTGCCGGTTCAGGCTGGGGGCTGGCTGGCCCAATGCAGCGAGTGGGCTCCTGCCCAGGGGCTCGGGGGCACCTTTGCTGCCTTGCCCTACGCGACTGCCTTCCCATAATATAATTCAGAACCAATCTCCCTGATCTCTTACCTTCCTCTTCGTTCCATATGAGGTTTGAGACACAAAACATAGCGGCGAGCTGCAGTTTGACGTGGGAATGGCCCTATGGACACAGAGAAGGGATGAAAAGCAAAAGGTGGATGATGTCATTTGAAGAGGCTTTTTCTGATATTCCGTAGATCACTGGAAGAGCCTCTGGGCTTGAAGCCGAGGCCGGAACCTCTACGGCCTCGAGAAGCCATGAGTTACTATCTGTAACTGTTGGGGTCAGGCCTGGCACGGATCTGACCAGCCTTGCCAGAAGGTATCCGAACCCATTCTACATCCACCTCACGAACTACAAACCACCTCACAACTTACAAAGGCTCTACTCTCCTAACATTGCTTGTCCAAAGTAAAATTAGAGAACAAATGCACGGCAGAAGCTGAAGAATTAAATCATACCTATGTCTGGAAGAGTATGCAAAAAATAAAAGATAAAAAGACAAGATCTCTAATGAGTTGATCAAACGTCCCAAGTATGACTGAGGTGCCATCCATGGTTCTAAAGGACAATACTGGTTATGTTTCCGTATGTACTGACAGCGCAAACATCCTGATTAGGTCCACTGTTCATGGGCAGTGATTTCTCTCGCTGTACGAAAGAGGGGTCAACAGTGAAACAATCTGTAAAGATGATTTCCCCACTGGTCAATGTGAAGAGCCTTCTTGTACACTTAATGTACACTCCTCTGTCACGCCTGTAATCCTAGCTACTCAGGAGGCTGATTTCTGAGGATCGAGGTTCAAAGCCAGCCAAGACAGGAAAGTCTATGAGATTCTTATCGCCAATTAACTACCAGGAAACTGGAAGTGGTGCTGCGGCTCAAAGTGCTAGAGTGCTAGCCTTTAGTGAAAAAACTAAGGGACGGCGCCCAGATCCTAAGTTCAAGCCCCACGGCTAACCAAAAAAACCCCCCAAAAAACCCAAAAACCAACAGATCTGAGGGAATTCGCTGGCAAGGTAAGTAATGATTTGCTGAAGGCAAGGACAAGATATCCTCTCGTGTAGGACTAAACTCCTAAGAAGACAGAGACGTGGAGACATGGACAGGACCTCCTCCATTTGCATTCTGCGGCTAGGGTTTCTGTTTTTACTTTTACCTCTCAACCATTATAGGGACATGTCTGCTTTGGGCAAGTTATCATCTGCTCCCGGCAGGTGAAGAAGGGCAGGGGCACTGGCTTACAAGAGAATCAGCAAAGGACACAGGCAGGCTGAGAGCACATTTGGGTTTTGTGCATGTGAGTCCTCAGCTTGGCTCTCTGCTTTCTCTGCAACATCTGAACAAAAGCGGGGGTGAGGGGGGAAGGGGGCGGGCGCTCAGGCTCACCATGTAATACTTGATTTTCTGCAGGATGTCATCATTGGTCATGATGAGCTCTTTTGCTGTTGTCCCGTCGGCTATGTTGGCTAAGATGCACAGTGTCTGGAAAGCACAAACAGCCAGGGATCAGGAAAGCTCTGAGGGGAGGCTCAGGTAGCAGAGCGTGTGTGAGGCGGAGTTCAAACCCCAGCAACCACAGGGGAAAAGAGAACATAGGAAGGAAGGGAGGGAGGGAGGGAGGGGAGACCCTAAGTTATCCTTCTCGCAAAGCCTGGATTTCTTACTCCTGCGCCCCTTCCAACAGCAGTGACCACACCCACCCACAGCCCACCTCAGCCAAGGCGAGCTCAAACCACCACAGGGGTTTCCACACGAGAAAGAGCACATACCTGCTCCTTCACCTCAATGCTATGCTCTCCTTCCAGTATCAGAGTGACCGCCTGCATGATCTGCTTCCCGTGAGTACTCATTATTTTATCTATGTGCTGCAAAACAAGGGGGAAGGCAGGATTATCATCCAGGAAACCAAAGAAAAAGACCACAGAGAGAAGCCTTCCAGAAGTTTAGTGATGGGAGACACCACACCCTACTCTACAAGACTAGATGGCAAACCTCGGGGGTTCAGTATACTCTGAAGCCACATTTTACCTTCATATAAAACGACCAGGAAGGGAGAACATGGAGTTGAATACAGAACTAAAATCCCTGGCGTTCCTCAAGCCCAAAGAACTAAAGCAGCACAAAAATGGTTGGGGGGTAGGGCAGGGGGAGGGGCGGTGTGACGCAAGGTGTGGCTTTACTACTATCCTGGCATCCTGGGGCAGGGGCTGATGCATGCCGAAGACTCAAAAGACCAGAGAAGTTCCGAGAAGGGAGCAGGCACATTTTCATGTCTACCTGAAGGCCTTCAGACACTTGCTCGCCCCTGTAATCTTAGCTACTCGGGAGGCTGAGATCTGAGGATCCCGGTTCAAGGCCAGCCTGGACAGGAAAGTCTGTGAGACTGTTGTCTCTAATTAACCACCGTGAGACCAGAAGTGGTGCTGTGGCTCAAAGCGGTACAGCGCTCATCTTGAGCTAAAGAGTTCAGGGACAGCTCCCAGACCCACAACCCACCAAACAAGAAAAAAACAGAAAAAAGAAGGCTCCCCACAGCCAGCGGCGTGGTCCTTCCACTCTGCCATGAACTCACTGATCTACAAACACACCTTCTGAGGTCCATCCTGTGAACGGGGGCAGGGAGGGGACCTCTATGAAACAGACTGAACAAGAAAGTTCCATGGAGAAGCAGAGGCCTCAGGGATAGGGATTGAGGCAGCGAAGAAAAGCCATGCTGACTGGCAAAGCAGGTGTAGAATAAGATACAAAGGTGGGGGGGGGGAAGGAGGAGAGAAGAGGGGGAGGGAGCCGTGCAGGGTGGTAAGTGGGACTAGATGGTAACCTCTAAGCTATCCTATAGCTCCCAGAGCAGCTCTGAAGATGGCAGGCAAGCCCACAATGCCTTGCTTCTCTGGGGACGGATGGGATTAGGTCACACTTCCGGGCAGCATTTACTTACGGGCCGAGTGGAGAGGAGATTCCGAAGAAGGCCCAGGGTCTTCATCAGCACATTCAAATCTGAATCTGATAATAACCGGAAGAGCTGTTCAGTACTCAAGCTTCGTAAAATATCGGCTTTTATTTTTTGTTCAGCCTGAAATGCCATATTCTGAAAGGATCGAAGAAGTTGCAAGAATCATGTCTACATTGACTTAGTACAATGAGATTGCATAGTAACTGATATTTTCAAACCACAAGCAGCAGGGATACAAAGTCCTTCGGCGTGTGACACACTGCTCTGAGCTCCTGCTCGTGGACTTCACCCTTCTGTGCGCTGGGAGTCTAACTGCCACTCCCAGATGAGCTTCCCTGCGGGAATGGAGCCGCTCTCTGACTCACAGGAGCATCTGAATGTCTTTTAAGATCGCTGAAAAACTATCAAATATACTTAGTGCTTTTTAAATTTAATGTTGGTCCTTGGGCTTGAACTTAGGACCTAGGCATTGTCCTGAGCTTTCTTGCTCTCTACCCTCTGAGCTACAGTTCCACTTGTGGTTTGTTGGTAGTTTGGGGTTTGTTTTTCTTGGTGGTTTATGAGAGGTTAAGAGTCTTTTTTTGTTGTTGGCGGTCGTGGGGCCTGAACTCTGGGCCTGGGCGCTGTCCCTCAGCTCTTCAGCTCAAGGCTAGCACTCTACCATTTGAGCTACAGTGCCACTTCCGGCTTTTTCTGCTTATGTGGTGCTGAGGAATCGAACCCAGGGCCTCAGTCATGCAAGGCAAGCGCTCTACCACTGAGTCACCTTCCCAGCCCAAGGTTAAGAGTCATGGACTTTCATTCCTGGGCTGGCTTTGATCCTCAGATCTCCTGGGTAGCTAGGATGACAGGCATGAGCCACTGGCACCCGGGTCACTCATTACTTCTTGGAGCACCTTTGTGAGTAAGAAGAGTATGATGACTACTGGCCATCTTACCATAGACAGCCAGTATGGGCCAGCACGCGTGTGGAGAATGACTTCTCAGTTCTCACTTATTCACGATGGAAAGAGGCAGTGGTCTGTTACCTCGGCTGTCATGAAAGCACCCACGGTGTTCACAGTGCTACGCTAGCTGCTTGCACGGCCGGACCCTTCGCAGAGGGTGCACCCCTGGGGGTAGCAAGGGTGTCCTGCCTACAGTAACACACTTGGCCAGTAGCTACTTTGCTTCTTTTTCTTTCATAATGTCATTGTAAAAGCAAAGGAAACATTAGCTTTCTCTATAAAGCTGGCAGCTCTCTACGAATACCTGTATGTTCAGAATGAAGCTTTGTCATGAATGAAGACAGCTGCTCACTGTTCCCTGACCAGCAGGAGCCAGGCCCCGGTGGCTGCGTCACTTACAGCTCAATCTGAAGTTCCTCAGGTCATGAGTACACCTACCACCTTAGTTTTTTTCTTTTTTTTCCGGTCGTGGACCTGAACTCTGGGCCTGGGCGCTGTCCCTCAGCTCTTCAGCTCAAGGCGAGCGCTCTACCACTTGAGCTACAGCGCCACTTCCGGCTTTTTCTGTTTATGTGGTGCGGAGGAATCGAACCCAGAGCCTCAGATATGCAAGGCAAGCGCTCTACCACTGAGCCACCTTCCCAGCCCTTTTTTTAAATTTAAAAAGAATATTCCAGGCATTTCAAATGAAGCACCAACTTTTGACAATACCTTTATTTTCTCTGTCAACTGTGACTTTAAAAAAGATTAACATACCATTAAGGCCCAAATTCCATTCACTCGTAAAGCAGGATTTTCACTCTGGGTTAATCCACAAAGTAGTTCCACAGCTCCCGATTCTAGAATTGGCTGCAGTTGACAAAAGAGAAGAAAAACAGACCACAGCTCTCAAATCAGATTGGCAAGCTAAATGCGTCTGCGCACCAGCAGCTGCACGTGGTTTCTCTTTCATACATACACAGCCGTGCCATGTTGCTGTAAGTTACTCTGAGGAAGGCAAGGAGACATTGTCCTCTCCCAAATTACGACAATGAACATGTGTCACTTCCTTTCTTTTTGGGAGGCCTGGGGATATCTCCATTACCTGCTCGTTTCATACCCACATCGGCCCCCTGCTGTTCCTCATCTCTAGGTCCTTGCTCCTCTCAAGCTCCCCAACCTCTGTCCCGCATGCCCCTCATTTGTCGTGCACTAACCGTAGCCATAACTGAGGCGTGTGTCATAACGCGTCCCTGAATACTATTCCTAAGAATATGCTTTTCTTCTTCTTTTTTTTTGTCAGCTGTGGGGCTTGAACTCTGGGCCTGGGCGCTGTCCCTCAGCTCTTCAGCTCAAAGCGAGCGCTCTACCATTTGAGCTACAGTGCCACTTCCGGTTTTCTGGTGGTTTATTGGAGATAGGAGTCTCATGGCCTCTCCTGCCTGGGCTGGCTTTGAACCGTGATCCTCAGATCTCAGCCTCCTGAGTGGCTAGGATTACAGGCGTGAGCCACCGGCGCCCGGCTAGAACCATGCTTTTCTAGTCATGCCCGCATACTTGGCATACTTCTGGCCATTTCTGACAACTTCGGGCCATAGGCTAGAGGACTAAGGTTTGCCATCACCTATAAATGCTGAAAAGGCCACATGACAAGATGGATTCTAGAAACATCTTAGCCAATCCGATTATATACCTGGGAAAAAGGCAGTCCCTTTCCAGGTGGCCTTTTAAAAGCGGTCCTCATCCTACTACATGGACGAGTTGTGGTGTTTCTAACTGCCACAATTGTTCTATCAGCTCTCATTCCGTGTGTCCACACCATCCATCATACCCCCCCTTTCCCTAAGTACAGGACGCCAGCATGGAGATCACAGCACAGTTGCTAACGTCAAAGAAATCAGCATCACATTAAAACAGCACTTTTTATAGCCCTGATTCCAATTCTATCAATTGGTCCAACAGTGTTTCTGTAGCATTTCCCTTCCAACTCAAGATCGGGTTTATTCCTTTTTTTTTTTTTTTTGGTTGGTCATGGGGCTTGAACTCTGGGCTTGGGCACTGCTCAGCTCAAGGCGAGCGCTCTACCACTTGAGCCACAGCGCCACTTTCGGTTTTCTAGTAGTTTATTGGAGATAAGAGTCTCATGGACTTTCCTGCCCGGGCTGGCTTTGAACGGTCGGTCCTCAGATCTCAGCCTCCTGAGTAGCTAGGATTATAGGCATGAGCCACTGGTGCCCAGCTGGGTTTAATCTTAAATGTTAAAAAAAAATACTCATATTAGTGATCTCTCGCTTGCATCTGTCCACCTTGTTTCTTAAGCAGGTAAGATCTCAGGTAAGCTGAGAGTCGTTCAAGATCACTGATGGGGTGGCAGAGTATGTGCAGACCAGGAACAGGCCGAGACCCCACTGAAGGGCAGAAGGCTGCTGTCCTCTCCTACTTTTCTCCTTCAAAGACCTTGCTGGGCAAGACCTCTAACCACTTGAGCTATGCCCCCAGCCTTTTTGCTTTTTTTTTGTTTTTGAGACCGAGTCTCATTAACTTTGCCCGGGCTGGCTTCAAGCTTGAGATCCTCTCTGCTTCCTCCTCTGGGTGGCTAAGTGTACTCTACCGTGCCTGGCTTTAGGTAATTATTTCTTATATTAGCAAACTCAAGTAGTTTGGATTAACTTTACTGTAGCTTTTTTAAAATTTTTTTGGGTCCAGTCGTGGGGCCTGCACTCTGGGCCTGGGTGCTGTCCCTCAGCTCTTCAGCTCAAGGCTAGCGCTCTACCACTTGAGCCACAGCACCACTTTCGGCTTTTTTCTTTTTGCTTATGTGGTGCTGAGGAATTGAACCCAGGGCCTCAGGCATGTAAGGCAAGTGCTTTACCACTGAGCCACCTTCCCAGCCCTGGATTAACTTTAAACAGTAATGTCTTAAGTCTTACTTTTCTGAAGCAGGGTCTTGCTAGCCCTTACAAGCTGGCCTCCAATTCCTAGGTTCAAAGGGATCCTCCTGTTTCAGCCTCCTGAGTAGCTAGGGCTATAGGCACATGCTACTGTGCTTGGCTTTGTAACAGCTTTTAAATATGTCAGGAAACAGTTAACATTATTTTTATATAAATAACTTATTTCTAACCTCCCCCCACATAGAGCAATTATTAAAGCCAACCCATAAATTTGAGGAAAAAAAAGAGAAAGCATTTGACTAAGCTCTAGCAAGACAAGGCAATGTGTGCCAGGCAGAGAAAATCAGAACTAACCTCTTTGCTTGGAGAAAACTCGAGAAGAAGATTACATAACATAGAAGATGCTACTACTAGGATTTCATCTGGTGCATTCTGTAAAACCTATGGAATAAAAACATTCATTGTTTGGAATCCTGGACATGACTAAATAAAGAAAATTACCTTACCATACAACACGTAAGAGCCACACTAAAATTCACACGTCGACATCCAATATGGACCAAATCGGATCACATCAAAATAGACGCAAAAAAAAAATATCATCAAAAATTTTACTGAAAATCAAATGTCTATTCCTATGGTTTGCCAGTAATTTGAAAGAAACAAAAGGGAAATAACAAGGAGATTATGTAAACTGCCTGTGAGCTATGAGAAATCAATTATCTAAAGCAAGCCATTGGTGTCTGGAAGATAGCTTTTTTTTTTTGGTCGGTCATGGGGCGTGAACTCTGGGCCTGGGCGCTGTCCCTCAGCTCTTCAGTTCAAAAGTTCAAAGCAAGCACTCTACCACTTGAGCCACAGCGCCACTTCTGGCTTTTTCTGCTTATGTGGTGTTGAGGAATTGAACCCAGGGCCTCAAGCATGTGAGGCAAGCGCTCTACCACTAAGCCACCTTCTCAGCCCTGGAAGATAGCTTTTAATAACCCCTTTATTATATGTGCATGGACACATCCCTGAAAGCTAGAGATCGTGTTACTCCATTCTGAATTTAGTATAGCTGAGCCATCAGAGAAAAGGGCTCTACATATAAAAGAAATAATAAAAAAATAATCTTGGATAGAAACCAACAAATCAAGACCAAGTTGCTATGAAAAAGATATAAGTAGGGCTGGGAAGGTGGCTCAGTGGTAGAGCGCTTGCCTTGCATGCATGAGGTCCTGGGTTCGATTCCTCAGCACCACATAAGCAGAAGAAGCTGGAAGTGGCGCTGTGGCTCAAGTGGTAGTGTGCTAGCCTTGAGCTGAAGAGCTGAGGGACAGTGCCTGGGGCCCTGAGGTAAAGCCCTAGGACCGACCAAAAAGAAAAAAAAAAAGAGAAAAAGACACAAGCTAGAAACAACCAACTGTGGGAAAATGAAAGAAAGCCTTGATCAACTTAGGCAAAGCCTTTGAAATCTTGGGGGAGAGCCAAACCTAGCCCCGAGGCTTCCGGTAAGAGATGGCGGCTCTGAAATGGGCCGAGCAGCTGTCTTCCCAGCGAGGGAAGGCACTGGTGCTACAGCTGGAGCGTGGATAAACCACCTTCCTGAACTCATCAAGAGGAAACATTCAGGAAAGACAAGGCCAGCAGGAAGTGAAGGCGTGATTGGTCCGAAGGGCTGATGTGTGTCCTACACAGTAAGGGAGTGCCACGAGATGGAAACAGTTGGACTCACGTCACCCGGTGCTTACGTAGGATTGAGTTTGGCTGATGGGACTCACATACCCATATCAAGACATCCTTTCAAACCCTTCTGGTGTCCCCTGATAGCTCCTGACTGGAAAATCACATGCCCAGTCCACCAGTCTCCTTTAGCCAGAATAGCTCCAGGATTTAGTGCTTGTTTTCTCTCCCTCTTCCTTCCTTTCTCTTTCTGCCAGCTGTAGGGCTTGAACTCAGGGCCTGGGTGCTGTCCCTTAGCAATTTTTACTCGAAGAGTTTCATGGACTTTCCTGCCCTGGCTGGCTTTGAACCACAATCCTCAGATCTCAGTCTCCTGAGTAGCTAGGATGACAGGCGTGAGCCACCAGCACCCACCAGTAGTGTCTTTCTTTAACCAATGATGCCACCTTGTTCTAAAACCTGGATGCATGAATCGGGTCCACCATGAGATGGATTCCCACAGCCTGTGGCACTGGTGCAACTCTTCCACCTGATTCTAATCCCCCTCCCTCCCCCTTTGCTGGCATGATTCAGCACACCCCACCCCTCCTGGTGTCCCTTCCAGGTGCCCACACGGAACCGTATGTGATGTTTCTGCGCGTGCAGCAACAATTGCCTGATCCTTCCTTTTGCCTTTGAGGTCTCCGGCACACCCCCCTCCCCCCATGCCACACCCCCCTCCCCCCATGCCTCAAGCCTTTCCTGTCAGTGCTACACTTGATGCTCCTAACACTAGCCCGAAGCTTGAAGTGAGAACTAGAGCCCCACAGAAAAAGGTTTTGGTAGTCTACTGTGCCAGGAAGCTTTGCTGATTGGTGTTTAAAAAAATTTTTTTTTCTCTTTTCTTCGAATTGGAAATTACAAGGATAGCTCTAGAGCAAGGTTCAAGAGGATTACTAATACCCTGGGAGATAAGGCTTTTTGTTAATACAGAAATCCAGCATTTCTCTCTCACGCAAGGCTCTGCCCTCACAAACTGCAGGGAGACTGACAGAGGCTCAGAACATCAGCTTCAAGGAAACAGACGTTCACAGCGCCCTGGGTGCTCCTGGGCTCAGCCTTGAGGACACCTTTGTTGTTGTTGTTGGCCACGGGGCTTGAACTAATGTCCCTGAGCTCTTTTTGTTCATGGATAGTGCCCTATCACTTCGAATCACAGCTCCACTTCTGGTTTTCTGGTGGTTCATTGGAGGTTAAGAGTCTTACGGACTTTCCTGCCCGGGCTGGCTTCAAACCGCAATCCTCAAGATCTCAGCCTCCTGAGTGGCTAGGATTGCAGGCGTGAGCCACCAGTGCCCGGCTCAAGGAGGAGTCCTCCTTACCTTCATTAAAGGTTTCCACACCGCGTGATCCTGGAAACTGGTTCTAAGTTGCTGTACAGATCTGGATAAACTGTGCAAACATCTACAAAGAATAACCTGAAATTAGCTTTACCAGGAAGCCCAAACTCCCCTTTCAAATACATTGCTTGGCTTTTCACTTATCACTAATATCCACTGCAAATACATCTATGGACGCTAAGTCTGCTACCATAGAGACCCTTCCCGGGTGCTGGATGCTAGGTTCTCTGGTAGGGAATAGCACACAGTGCATGAATTCACCTGAGCCTATGTTCCAGGGTAATACTTGCATTGTGCACTTATTACTCGGCGAAGGACCGGAGAAGGAAATGGGTTAAACACAACGGGCAAAAAGAGTTGGCTTGAGGCCACAGAGAGCTCATACCTGACAGCAGCTAAGCGCACCTTGACACTAGACTCAGACAAGCCAGTCACAATTCGGTCCATCATATTTTCAGTCTCAATGATCTGGAGAAAAAGGTTAATGCTGCATAAATAACAACACGCAGGTGACAGAACGCAGCTGCTTGTAAATACAAGTAGGTTAAGGGTCCATTACAAGTTTCAAGTGGGTTTGAGCAAAGGGGTTTTTGTCGTCGTTTTTTTTTTTTTTTTTGACCTCTCAATCAATCTCCTGCAGGGGGGAGGAGGAGAGAGGCAACTCATCAGAAAGGCAGGACCAGCCCAGGCACAACAATCCAGTCTGAGTTTGACAGATGGAAGAGGAGAGCTATGTTTATTTTTTAAAGACATTTAAACCGGTAGGAGAAGGCAGAGGTACTGAATAAACAATTGTGAATGGGGTTGGCAGGAGGTTATAAATAAACTTCCACTAGGGAGGGTTCAACCAGGGAGAATCTAGAAAGATCCAGCATCCTCAGTCCTCAGGAAGTTAAGATCTGTGGGTTCATGAAGGGGCACTCCCAGGGCTACTTTCTTACCAAGTGGACTAGAACGAAGTTAAACATTCTCAACGGTTCCCCTTCTACCCCCTCCCTTTCAGTGATGGTACCCAGGCCACCCAAACCTAGGAGGCTCCAGAGTCAAAGGTCAGATCAAGGAGTGTGCTTTGGTAGGTTCCAAACACCTGGCGGCTTCAGCAGGTGTCTACTGACCATTTCTTCTTTTCCCTCTGACTTAGGAAGGCTTGTTATGAGTGCTAAGTTTTAAAACCATGTCTCTTTTTCATTTATTTTTCAGATAGGGTTTTTTTTTTTTTTTTTTACTGAGATCAGCCTCTACACGGATTACGGAGATTACAAGCATGCACTACCATGCCACGCATGGTATCATTTTGTTCTTTGTCTCCCCTCTCCATACACCTCCCTTCCCTCCCAACAGGGTGCCTGGGTGACGAGACGTATGTATTAAGTTCCTCTTTACATACATGGAGAGTCGCTAGCGAGTTTGGCAAAGGGCCTACGGAAGACGGGACCATCTAGGGTGTGGGAAGGGCCGCGGTTGGGGTCCTCCTTTCCTGTGTGTGTTCCTTCATTTTCTTGACTCAGTCTTTCATTCTTCAAGTGCTTACTCAGCTGTGCACAGGCCGTGTTGTAGGTGGGACTCGTACAGTCAATGAGCAAAACGGCAAAGCCCCTGCCCTCCTGGAGCTTACATTCTAGGACCCGCAATGTACGCTAGGCTGGAAGGAGGCTTCAAATGGAAGAGAGAGTTGTCTCAAAGGCTGTCAGTCAGATGCTGAGAGGAGCAAAGGGGAAAGTGCTTTCCTTGCACATTTGCAATGCGTTTATTTTTAGCAACAGGAAAAGCATCCTGGTTCCTTTATTAAATGCTAACTTTTTGTTTGTTTGCTTTGCTGGTCCTGGGGGCTTGAACTCAGGACCTGTGCACTTTATCAAGGCTGGCACTCTACCACTTGACCCATACCTCCACTTCCAGCTTTTTGTTGGTTAACAGAGACACGAATCTCATGGACTTTCCTGCTTTGAACTCAGATCTCAACCCAAGTAGCTGGGACTATAGGCATGAGCCACCAGTGCCAGGCTCTTACATTTTAATTCATACTACTGCCAGTTTTCTTCAACTTATACTTTGTGACAAGTTCCACTTGTTCCTTGGAATGAGTAAAAGAGAACTGTTTTTCAGTTTATGCTGCAGATGACAATCTAATGGATGATCACTAGGCATTGATCAAGTATCGGTCGGCATATTAGTAATACTTTCTTACAAAAAAAGAACTGGTCTCAAAAACGACAGGACTGTTTGCTATGGCAATACTTGAACTTGACCCTAACATGTGGTCAGGATGATTATTAGAAACTACACCTGCTGTGGCAGAGAGGAGCGCTGACGTTCACCGGGCAGTTACTGCTAATCTGCTCATTTCCTGCCACAATCCTACGAGAATCCAGGTCAGTTATTACAGGCAATCTGAGTTCTTCTGAAGTTAACACACAGGCTACAACTGCTGCTGGGCTCAGTGACACCCTTGCCCCCTTCCTCCCCCTCACCCCCATCTTCTCTTGGGCTTCTTCTCCCTCTTCAGGTCACAAGAACAACTTGGCAGCACCGCCCTCCTGGGCTTGTGTGTGACCAAGACCCCTCTCAGGAAGTTAAGAAATGTCCATACAGGCCACAGAGGCTGATTACAGATGCAAGGCTGGGAATTACATGGGATATAGAAAAGTCCAGGCCCATTTAAGTTAATATCCCTCTGTATGACTGCTCGGTTTTCATTTCCACACTTATTCATAGCAATGAGTTTATCTTGAGCGTTTCTTAGGAACAGCTGATTTGTTTTAATGAGACTATACCAACAATGTTCCAAAGCAAGGATGGTCTTTGGTCTAGAGGTCAGATTCAGCCAAAGGCTGAATCTGTCTGGTCTAGAGAGACAGCCCAACTGCAAGCCTTGAGAATAATCTGTTAGAAGCCAGGCATGGTGACACATGCCTGTAGTTCCAGATACTTAGAAGGCTAAGGCAAGGAGATTGCTCGAGTCCATGTGCTCAGGGTTAGTTTGGACAACTGAGATCCCCGTCTCAAAAATCAAGAACAAGACAATAAACAAATAAATGAATTTAAAAGTCTAAAGAAAAAGAAATCTCTTATAGTGCTGAAATAGAGACACACATGGTGTGTATTTTCTCCACTCTTGGTTTTTCTATTTATTCCTTCTCCTTTCCCTTCCTAGCCACAAGAGGGCACTTTAGCTTCTCTAGTAATAATTTGATTCCCATTTTCTGCATCTTAAAAATGATACCAAGTGAACATTTCATTTTTTTTTTTACTGAAACAAAAAAAAAATCCTTCGTTACTTGGGGAGGAGGAGAAGAGACAGGAAAATCTACGGTGGTTAAAATTGCTTTCAGAGATCATGAACTCAGTGAACTAAAATTCCACTTTGACAAGCATACATTAAAAAAAAGGAAACACTGTAAGAAACTACACACAAAAAGGAATATAACCAAAGTTTATAAGGCATAAGTATAAAGGTGAACTATTGCATGGATAAAATTAAAAGCGATCCAAATGATTATCTTAACAAAAGATAAAAACTAAAGGCATTCAAAGGAAAATTAATCACTTCTTATACAGAGAAAATAAGGATTTTCCACTTTTAAGCACAGACTTCAAGTAACTTTTAACACAAAATGATGTTTCTCCCATTATAAGTTCTCACACTGGTAGGTACTTGGAACGATAAATGATTCAAATAATTTCCCAGAAATTAAAAGTTTTCCTAAAAGCACAACAGAATGCCCAGCATGTAAGAACATCACAGTGTCTTGACCACACACAAACTATCATCAATAAGGATAACTTAGTCTTTATTTGCCATCTTTCAACAGCAATGATCAATAGTGAACCTTACCAGGCAACTGTACATATTAGGAACACAAATGTTAATAAGACTGCCCATTAGATGGTTCGGTTGCAAGTATTTCTGCAACATGATACCACAAATTAAGCCATGAGTTCCAAAACAATAGTTTATTGACAAAGAGTACAAAGAGGTACAAGTGTGCATCCTGTTCCCTCCCCCCCCCCCGTTCTGATTTGTCTCTCTTCCTCCCTTCCAATTCATACCACACCTGGCCTTACAGCAGCAAGAGCAGGTGAAAGGCCCCTCCTGTCTCTGGAGGGCCTTCGTAACCACCAGGACCCAAGCCAACGTGCATGTAAGGGATACACTCCAGGACAGGCTCAGTTATGACTGAGTTCCTTCTCCCGTACCACACACCTCAAGTGAACGGGCAGAGCAGGGGCCACAACCTCCTATCAGCTTTAGATATACAGGCAATAGTGCATGCCTAGCGTCTCTGCCTCCAAGTAACGGTTTGTAAGTGAAATCTTTTAGAGGTGTCAAAGATCATTTTTAGCAGTAATGTGGTAATGCTCCCTAAAAAGGGAAAAAGAAACAAAAGAAACTTGCTAGCTGCCCTAGGCTGAGGCATGGGGAGAACACTCGCAGGTTAGCTGTGCTTTTCTGCACTGATTTCAAGACAGCAACTGATGCGTCTGACCTTATTGCTATTCTCCATGACTTCAAAGATGGTTTACCTCCAACTGATTTCAACAAACAACGTTGTTCTACATGCCCCCTTTCAATGGGCGTGAGGAACTTCTTTGAATGATGCGAAGTACAAACACCGTGTGGCTATTGGTTTTGCTTTTGTTGTTGTTGTTGTTTTTGGTCAGTCGTGTGGCTTGAACCCTAGGCCTGGGTACACTCCCTCAGTTCTTCAGCTCAAGGCGAGCACTCTACTACTGAGCCACACAGCACTACTTCCGGTTTTCTGGTGATTCATTGGAGGTAAGAGTCTCATGGACTTTCCTGCCCAGGCTGGCTTTGAACTGTGATCCTCAGATCTCAGCCTCCTGACTAGCTAGGATTACAGGTGTGAGCCACTGGTGCCGGCTGTGTGGCTATTGTTTAAAAAAAAACAAAAAACACTGGGGTAGAGATGGGGAGAGTTAGGCAACAGTGGTGTCAGCAGATACTGTCACCTGCTATGTGGCTTTGCTCCCTGGAGATTATGACGGGCTTGAGCAGCCTGTAAGGACATGTTTTGAGAGATAACCTCCAGCAACTTTTGGCTTGTGGAAGGAGCAAGTCAGAACGTTATCACTACTCTACTTCCTGCCTAGTTCTTTTCTCATAAAGAAAGAATTGCGAGTTTAGTGTTGGACTAGCCTGGCGGCACAAGGATCCTACATCAGTGACACATTTGTGGAGAGCTGGAAAATTCAGATGACCACTCACTAAACATAAAACCATCATTCCACAAAGATTTTATTCACATTCAACTTGCACAGTAGCAAAAAAAAACAAAAAAACAAAAACAACCCCCCCAAACAAAACAAAAAAAGAAACCCCAAACATAAAAACTAAGCCACATATCAGAGAACAATATACAATAAGAGATTTGAACTTCTCCATGGCATTGGAAGGAAATTTCCATAAATAACATTTACAATTCTAAGTGTTAGATCTTTTCAAAGTGGCTGAAGCTTCACAGTGCTAGAAGTGATTCTTATCAGAACACATGCAAGAATGTGCAACACAATAATCCATATTAATGACACACACACACACACACACACACTCACACACACGCACACACAAAAGCAGGCCAGTTATTTGTCATTCCAGCATGGCCATGAAACTCTAGGCTCTCACAACAAACGCCCGCCCCCCGCCCCCCAGATCCAGGTCCCACTCCTTCTTCACTTATGCCTTTGTCACTGCTTTATTCTAGTCACAGTCGCTGTTAGAGCTCTTCGGGACTCTCAGGGTGGCGCCACGCCCTGCCTGCCGGCTGTCAGGACTGGGGGACGCCCTTCTCCCACACTCACCTTCTTCCGGATGTCCTCGTCGTTGGCGCCCAGGGAGGCGTAGAGCTTGAAGGCCGCCTGGCGGAGCTCGTGAGCGTGCTTTAGGTCGTGATCCAGCTACAGGAGAGAAAAGGACCTTCAGACCAACTCTGCCTGCGACTAGCATTCTCAATCAAAATGACCGACCAACTATGGAACGACGAACGTGTGGATGGTGATCAGTTAGCTCTGGGTTCTATCACACATGCCTGAGGCCACGCGTGGCTTGCATCGGCAGGATGCGCCCTGGCAGCCAGCATCTCACAGGGAACCCCCAAACTGACACTAGAATAAGAGAACGCCCTTCTAAATGTCTGCCCCACAAATCTCCATGTTCCCAGGGGTAGTGCTAGGAACAGGGATGCTTGCTCCTCACACCACATGAAATGCTCCTGGGCAACAGAAAAGGAGGTGCGCGTGGGCTTCACGAGTGCTAACGGCCAATGCTGAAGTGGGTGAAAACTTACAAAACAATACACCACAATATGGGCTGGGAAGGTGGCTCAGTGGTAGAGTGTTTGCCTAGCATGTATGACGCCCTGGGTTCCATTCCTTAGTATCATATAAACACAAAAGGCTGGAACTGGTGCTGGCTCAAGCAGTAGAGTGCTAGCCTTGAGCCAAAAAAGAAGCTCGGGGACAGTGCCCAGGCCCTGAGTTCAAGCCCCAGGACTGGTAAGAAAAAAAAAAAAAAGAAGAAAAAAAAATATATACATATAGATTTACATATAGATAGATAGATCACAATACATTAGTTATACATTAGCTATAGTTACTATTACAGTTATCTGAGATTTATGTCCAAGCTGCTTTTGTGTTGAGAACATTATTAAAATGATCAGCTGACATGAGCCATTAGATGCTATTTAAACACATGGATGGCCAAACTTGACAGTCCTTCCAAACACCTACTGCTTCAACAAACTACCACAGAAGGGATGTCCAAGCACACTCTCAGAATACTTTATTTATTGGTCAATTGTGGGGCTTGAACTCTGGGCCTGGGCGCTTGTCCGTCCCCCAGCTCTTCAGCTCAAGGCAAGCACTCTACCACTTGAGCCACCATGCCACTTCCAGCTTTTCTGTTTATGTGGTGCTAAGCAATCGAACCCAGGGCCTTATGCATGCAAGGCGAACACTCTACCACTAAGCCAACTTCCCAACCCTCTCAAAATACTTTTAATCACAACGAGCCAGTCATCATACAAAGTATAATACTGATATGAATGATTTAAAATGGGGTTGAGTTCAGGGTTTGGGCACTGTCACTGAGGTATTTTGCTCAAGGCTAGTGCTCTACCATTTGAGCCACAGATCTATTCCAGCTTTTGGGGAGTTTAATGGGAGTTAAGGTTCTCAGACTTTCCTGCCTAGACTGGCAGATCTCAGATCTCAGCCTCCTGATGACAAGCGTGAGCATCTGGCTAGGAGTACACTCTTTCCAAAGGAGTTACCTTAGAAAAGTGCTGGTAAACTCCAATGGTTTAGGTGCTGTTTAAACCATTTTGAGACACTCATTTCAAACTCCTGAGAGACTAACTGGCATACTGGCTCAAAACAACAACAAAAACACTGTCAGTGATATAACGTTATCAACCAAGAGTTTTAAATTAACTGTCACTGATTAAAATGTGTTAAATCCAGTGGATACTTATCATGTAGAGTAACAAAAACTCCATAAACTATCAAATAGAAAATAAAAACGAATTTGAAGTAGTTATGGAGACAATTTTGGGGGTGGGGGTCGGGGGAGCTGGTCATGGGGCTTAAACTCAGGGGCCCTCCCTGGGCTCGTATGCTGAAGGCTAGCACTCTATCACTTTAAGCCACAGCACCACTTCTGGTTTTCTGGCAGTTAACTGAAGGTAAGAGTCTCACAGATTTTCCTTTCGCTGGCTTTGAACTGTGGTCCTCAGATCTCAGCCTCCTGAGTAGCTAAGATTACAGGTGTCACCCACCAGCACCCAAAACCTTTAAGACAATTCTTAAAGGTTATTCCAAAAATGTCTTCTGATGGATTATGGAAGGAGCCTTGCACTATACCAACAGGTCCTTTTATTTTTTGTAAATTCTGAAGAATCTACCTTTAAAGTCTTCACTACATTCTAGCAGCAATATGAAGTCACTTGGCAGTACTGGGGACTGAACTTAGGGCAGGAAGAAACCTCTGGATAATCTGCCACCAAAATTAAAGATGACAAAACAAAACCAACTATTGCTTAGAGGTAGCATTAGGAGATCATTTTTTTTTTTTTTAAGCATGTTACTATAAAGGAAATGAAAGGGAAAGACTCCGTTCACAGCAGAGATCACCTATCCTCTGCCAAACAGCCTGCACATGAAGACACATCAGATGTTCTTGGTCTGGAGGGGTCAGCCAATAGGGTGCAATAGGAAGCCTCAGTCAGCACTCGGTTGCATATCCATGCACACTGTAAACAAATAGCCTGAGGGAAGCAGACTAGTCCACTGGTTCAGGATAGTGGAGCCCTTATCCTGGAAAAGAAGACCTTGAGCAAGAGCAGACCTGTAACTTGAAGACAGGGCGGTGGACATGACTAATGCCAATGCTGCTAAAGGTTATTTCAGGCCCTTACTGAGACAGAGAAAGGACATATGTGAATCGTGTATTTTCAGCACTGCAGGCCTGCTGGGTGAGGTGTTTTCAAATTCATACCATGGAGAGGTCATGACAGCAATTACACTGGGACCAAAGGAAATTCCAAAACAGCAGTGGCTACTCATTAGGAGGCAGTACCCTCTCTGCGATGACCTTCTTAAGCACTGTTTCTAACAGAATCTCCCACTCTTACAGAAACGGACAGAGCAGAACTGGCTGAGAAGCAACAAATCAGAGGAATACCTTTCAATTCTAGACAACTTCTATTTCAGAACAAGCTGGCGTGACTGGGTCCTTCACAGTCCCAAGCTAGAGGTCAAATGGCACTTTCGTCATTCGCCTCTGGCAGGCCTAAAGCACTGTGTGAGCAGAGAGAGGGAAGGTGGGAAGGGGTGGCAGGAAAGACGGAGGGCGGAGGGTAAGACGAGGCCACTCAGTTCACAGTACAAAAGATCACCCTTGACCAAAAGGCAGAGAATGAAGCCGCAGAGCTGATTCTGGGACATCGTCGGAGTCTGTATGCAGTGGAGACTCCATTTCAGAGCCTTGTTTGCAGGCTAGGAATACAAGTTTCCTTGTCCTGTTAATGCGCTTCCTAAAAACTTTCTTGACAGGAAATGGCAAAAAGCAAAAAGCAGTATCATCTCTGTGAACAAAGCTAAAAAGACCTCTTTATTTAAACAGGCTAGCTGGGCACCGGTGGCTCACGCCTGTCATCCTAGCTACATAGGAGGCTGAGATCTGAGGATCACAGTTCGAAGCCAGCCGGAGCAAAGGCAATCCATGAGCCTCTAATCTCCAATTAATCATAAAAAAAGACGGAAGTGATGTTGTGGCTCAAGTGGTAGAATGCTAGCCTTGAGCTGAAGAGCTCACTGACAGTGCCCAGGCCCAGAGTTCAAGCCCCCGGATCGGCAAAAAAAAAAAAAAAAAAGTGAGGGGGAGTGAGGGTGGGTTTGAGCTATAACTAGAAACTGTTAAAAAGTGAGAGCAGTATGGAAAAGTAGAATCCCCCGTCGTGGCTGCTGAACAGGAAAGAGAACACACCCGTTTAATGTCGGTGATGGCACTCACGGAGCTGGGGTACTTGAAGTAGTCGGCCAGCATGGCAATGAGGTGGTCAGTTATGCTGGCGATCCTCTGCAGTTCTACGTCGGGCTCAATCAGATAGGCCAGTGTCTCCGCTCCCTCCACCCTCTCCTCCAGTAGTCTTTCCTTACTGCACATTCGAACCAAACAAGGCAATGTCTGAAATACAGGCAGAGAGCAATGATTGGCTTTTGAGGAAAGGCAAAAGTTTGATCAAGAGCATGTAGAAACTTCACTGACTCAATGGATATTACTGAGAGTCATGTGAAATCAAGTACTTCCTCGATTGGCTTTCAGAGAATAAAAGGTTCTCTTCAATGCAAAAACAAACAAAATGCAGTGTATAGGTTAATCGCCGGTGTGTGCTGGTACAGGGAAACTGCTTCTACAAGGTATATTAACAGAAACTCTGCTTACAAGTGAGCAGAGCCAGGCACCGGTGGTTCACACCTGTCATCCTAGCTACTCAGGAAGCTGAGATCTGAGGATCACGGTTCAAAGCCAGCTAGCAGGAAGGAAAATCCAGTAAAATCTGTGAGACTTTTTTTTTTTTTTTTTTTTTTGCCAGTCATGGGGCTTGATTGACCTCTGGGCCTGGGCACTGTCCCTCAGCTCTTCAGCTCAAGGTGAGTGCTCTACCACTTGAGCCACAGCACCACTTCAGGCCTTTTCTGTTTATGTGGTGCTGAGGAATCGAACCCAGGGCCTCAAGCATGTGAGGCAAGCACTTGACCACTGAGCCACCTTCCTAGCCCTGATTTCATGGGTTTAGAGTGAATGAATTAATTAGCTTACCTTCAGTACAATGCAGCTGTCATCAGTCCGAATTGCTCCAGCTCTGCACATGTAAGTTAAACTGGAATAAAATGACAGAGTAAGTCTTTACTTCAGGTTTAAAACTTTTTTAGAAAAATGCTTTGTCGCCGGGCGCTGGTGGCTCACGCCTGTAATCCTAGCTACTCAGGAGGCTGAGATCTGAGGATTGCAGTTCAAAGCCAGCCTGGGCACGTAAGACCGTCTCCAATAAACCACCAGAAAACCGGAAGTGGCGCTGTAGCTCAAGTGGTAGAGCGCTTGCCTTGAGCTGAAGAGCTGACGGACAGCACTCAGGCCCAGAATTCAAGCCCCACGACCGACAAAAAAAAAAAAAAAAGTTTTGTCTTTTTAAGATTTTGTGAAAATAATAAATAGTGTCATTTATTTGGAGGGAAAAGTTTTCGGCTTCAGCTCAGTAATAAAACTAGAAAAGATTCAAAAACAGTATGCCAGAGATGTATATTAAATATTATAAATATAAATATATACAGTACATGTATATTTTTATATTTTATGTAAATTTAAATACATACATTACCAGTAGTGGGGCTTGAACTCAGGGCTTGGGCATTGTACCTGAGCTTTTCTGCTCAAGGCTAGCATTCTACCATGTTTAGCCACAGTGCCACTTCTGTGTTGGGAGTGGTTAAGCCTCTCATGAACTTTCCTGCCTGGTCTGGCTTCGAACCATGATCCTGATATCAGCCCCCTGCATAGCTAGGATTACAGGCATGACCAGTGCGGGCATAAATACATATGTATATTTAATATCTACAAAATTGGGCTAGACCTGGTAATGCATGCTTGTAATCTAAGATACTCAAGAGGCAGGATTCCCAATTTTGGGCTAGCTCAGGCTACACAGTGTTACCCTATCTTAAAAACAAACAGCCTAACAAACACATATATTTTGAAGCTAGGTGCTAAGCATGTGTTGACTTACTTTTTTTAAGGGAAGTAATTTTCTCTGTATGTTTTGTCATTGAATTTTCTATCATAAAAGGGAAGAAATGTTAAAAATAAAATATGAGATTAACAAAGCGTCTCAGTTTAAGTGGGATATTCTAACTCCAGCAGCAGAAGACAATCACAGAAGAGAAGGCTTGCATTTGATTAAACACAGTGATCCATCAGAAATTAGCTATTTGAACGTTAACAGTCACAGCTTTAGAGATAAAGTCAATGAACTGGTTCTCACTATTCTTTTTCTTTTTTTTTTGTCAGCTGTGGGGCCTAAACTCTGGGTGTGGGTGCTGTCCCAAGCACTCTACTTGAGCTACAGCGCCACTTCCAGTTTTTTTCTGCTTATGTGGTGCTGAGGAATCGAACTCATGGCCTCATGCATGCAAGGCAAGTACTCTACAACTGAACCACTTTCCCAAGCCCCATATTTTTATTTTTGAAAATAAATTTACTTCTGAGTAAAAAATAAAAATAATTTGTAGAAAGATGAGTACTTCAGAGATTCAAATTAGTGTCACTTTTGTGTTCAAGTCCTTGGTAATGTGGGAGGAGGGGGAAGGATGGCTAACACATCCCATGTTTGGGTTTTATAAAAAGCTAGAAACAATTCTATCATCTGTTTTTGTCTTGTGTTGCTTACATTATCATACGGCTTGTTATTGTCATTTTAGCTACTGACAGGAAAACTTTACCTTGCTAATAATGAAGTGCTCATTTTGAGGTTGAGACAGAAACAGGAAACAGAAACATAATACAAGTAACTGACCCAGAAGGCACTGTGGTTCACAGACAAGCCCCCATTCTCTTGAATATAAAACTCAATAGTTGAGTTAGCAGAGCGCTGTACCACAGGTGCTAGAGGTTCGTATGTCAGAATGTGTGCACATGTATGTACATCTCAACTCCAGTTCCTAGATCTCTGGATTTTCCTGGCTTAGTGCTGAAAGAGGACACTGATTCTCCATGATCGAATTCTGCATTCATGTGAACTGAGAGACGAGGAAGGAGAGTAGCTGAGGCTATAATAAGGTATGTTCTGCCGTCTCAGCTATAAAGAGACTTCCTATACAGCACAGTACTGGTAATAAAGGAGTTCACAATGCCCCCACAGATGTGGGGACGGGGGGAGAGGAGGGCGGGGGGGGAGGGCACTGACAAAGGAGGCCATTCCGCCGCGCGGCTCTGACAGTTACCATTTGGCAGATGTGAGCTGCATCTCGATGGGCTTATCCCTCTGCAACATCTTCACAAAGATCTGCGGCAACAACTCTCCATCAACCAACACTGGAAATGACACAAACAGCAGCAATGAGGGCAACGCTCAAAATGCACAAAGTGGGTGAAGTAAATCATGAAGGGGCCATGGAAAGTTCCAGCCTACCGTTTACCAGAGTCATTGATACCTGGGGGTTTTCAAAAGCTAACACGGAGAAGCATTTCAGTGCTTGCATTCGAACCTGTAAAGAACAATTGGACAAACAGAAGGTAGGCTAACTTTAATTCTTCCAATATGACTTTAAGGTTAGCTCCTCTCTTGAAGAAATAATTACTTAATTCTGCTTAAAATACTGAGGATGGGCTGAGGGCACAGCTCCAGGCTACAGTGTTTGCCTTGTGTGTTTGAGGGCCTGGGTTCAATCGCTAACACTGGGGGGAAAAAAATGAACTAAACTGAACGAAGGCATGGGGAATCACAGTACCACCCGTGTATTTGAAGAGCAGAATAAGAGCCAAAATTAATGTTTTAATAAAACACTATCATATAAAATACATTTCTTAGATTTTTACATATTTTTTTCTTTAGATTTTTAAATATCTTAATAGGCTTAATAGCAAGTGGCAAGCTCTCTCAAGTGGATGCTTCTATTTCTTCTAAACCCAAATCAGAAATGTGAAGGGAGGCAAATTAAAAGAAGGAAAAAAAAAAGTTCTCTTTCCAATGTACTGGGTAGAGAAGGGAAAGCACACAGGGCGAGAGAGCGCTCCTACAGCTGTAAGAACGCTATGGTCTGGGCTGGTGCAGGGCCCAGTCTCTTGACTCCCATGAAAGTACAAGGTGCCCAAGGGCCGTGCTGTTTCCACCAAAGCACCTCACCCTCACTTCCGAGGCGGAGCCTTCACATAACCTCAGGCTGCCTGCAGGCACCCGGAGGAGGAGGGGAGGGACCTGGGCATGAAGAAGACTCGCCCCTCATCTGACCAGTGCCCTGCAGCACTAGCAGGTGCCCAGAGGGGGAAGCAGACTCTGCTAATGCAATGTGACTAGGCGCAAACCTTCCCATGAGCTCCACCTTCCCAGCCTCTGAGTCTTAGGATGTGTGGCGGGAAGGAGGAGAGATGGAGGAGGAGCCCAGAAAAGCACAGGGAGCAACTGCTTCCTGCTGTGCAAGTACTGCTAGGTTCTGGGTCACTACATGTGACCTTCCCTGCCAGCAGCTCCATTCCAGCTGGCTCTTCCCCATTCCTACCGCGGGGAGCCCTGGGAGTCACAAGGAGAAAGGCTGAGGTGGGCAGGCCCTACAAACTGAACTGGATTCAATGCGAGTAAGAAACAAACCTGGCTTCCTCTCTGTTCTGCCACATGGGCTTCTAACAGGACAGAACAAGATCAGCCCAGAATTTGCTACCACGGACTGGATGGGCAACCCTGAGTGGCCGGTGTTAAGTCAATGCCAGACAGTAAGTTGTGGGGCTGCAGAGAAGCCAGGAAAAAAAAGAAAGAAAGAAGGAAATGTGCAGGCCGGGTGCTGGTGGCTCATGCCTGTAATCCTAGTCAGGATGCTGAGATCTGAGGACTGCGGTTGAAAGCCAGGCCTGGCAGGCAAGTCTGTGAGACTCTTATCTCCAATGAACCACCAGAAAAGCACAAGTGGTGCTGTGGCTCAAAGTGATAGAGCGCTTGCCTTGAACAAAAAGAACTCAGGAGCAGTGCCCAGAGCCTGGGGGTTCCAGCCCCATGACTGACAAAAACTAACACCCCCAAACCCCTAGTGATGTGCAGACTTTGATCTTCAGTCAAAATATGAAACAACACATTGTTCAATGCAGATGTATGCTGCAAGTTTAAGTTGCTGTGGCCCCATAAATGTTTGAAGTATAAGCTCTTGTGTCTTCACTGCTCCAGGCAGCCGCAGCTTCTAGTACATTCTAGAAAGTACCTGCTGAAGCAGAAGATTCAGTACTGAAGCCGAAATCAAGGAGATATGAAAATACCATGCAATCAATGAAAAGCAAAAGCAATGCAAAGAACAGCATCTTGAGAAGATGGAGAGGAAGGGGCACATTTAAAAAACAAACAAACAAACAAACACAAAAACACAGTCTCTAGGTGAGCCAGCACTCTGTAACAGTTCCTGATAAAGCACTCCTGACCCACCTCCATCATGAAGTGGGACAACGTGGGGGCCTCTGTCTCTACAACCAAAACCAGGGGAGAAAAAAAAATCTGGCCATGAGTTTTGCCATCTTACTTTGTAGGAGAGTGAGGTGAGTAGGTGAGCAATGTTCTGAACTGCGCCGTGGTTAAATAAAATTGTTTGATGATCTGGCCCCTGTAAGAAGAAGGGAGAATACAACACGTTAACCAAAGTCATGTTTCGTTCCATGAAGAAAGACTGCATTTATGACTGCATAGAGTTCTCAGTTACCCCTAGAAAAAGTCAACCCCAAAAGAGCAGAGTGGACCTTGTTTTAGTCCTGAAGGGGAGAGCAGGAGGCCGAGAAGCTAGTCCTCGGCAGTCACTGCACAGAGCCCATTGGAGCCAGAGTGCTGTGAACTCGGCGCTTCATGGGCACAACCCGGCCCTAGGCCTGGGAGACCAGACAGCGGTGCTGCCATTCTTCGAACTGGAGTCTGATGGGCTTCGTCAGAGAGATCGCGAACCAACTGCAAGAGACCCTCACCAACCACACCACACCCGGACATTCAGGCCTACAACACTCTGTAACTATGATGGGAATGTGCTTCTTCTCACTTTTCCTTCGAAAATAGGTACTTCTTAGAATAGGAAGTTATGGAGGTAGGAAAATAAAAATATTTTATTTTTCATCAACTATTCTGTACTCATCAATGTCACAACGATCTTCCAAGTGGCAGAAGTGAAGTGTTCATGTAAAGCTTTAATGGTGCCACAATTCTAATGTATTTTATGGCCAATCTCATTCAAGGCATCCATGAGAAGTCTACTGAAGCCAGGGCAGGGAAGATGTCAAATGACTTTAATCAGAAGAGAACAAAACATACCATGAAAAGGCAGGCTAGTTATCTGGCCAGGAAACTCTGTTGAGACTCTTAGCTCCAATTAATCAGCAAAAAGAAGTTCGAAGTAGAGCTGTGGCTCAAGTGGGAGAGTGCCAGCCTTGAGCAAAAGAGCTCAGGATCGTGCCTAGGTCCTGAGTTCAAGACTGGCATACACACATACCTACAATTGCACTTGTATATGTACTCTCATCTCTGGAAGAACACAGAAACAAGGCACGTATCTCAGAACAACATGTAAGATCTCCCATTATGGAGAACACTGGTATGGTTCTTACTTTGCAGCAGTGTGAGAAGATCTGACAGATATACTCCTGGGTGTAGCGGGACCTGCTCAGCAGCGCCATGAGGTGTGGTATTACTGTGGCATCCTGGAGAGGACAGTAACGAGGAACTTAGGTACTGCGCATACACCCTTCGTAGGTATACTTCAACTCATATCTTATGGGCAGTCAAACAAGTCTGTTTAGGGGATGAGGTGAAGGGAAAATAAGATGGCCATCTGCTCATGCAAAAACCAAGGAAAAGGTTTCAATATTCATCCTTGAAACCAATAAAAGTAATTCTCCCTTCCCATAATCAGCCTATGTTCTTACAATAAAGTACCATCACTGTAGTAAGACTCATCAGAATCAGTGCTGAAATGGAGGTGACCGCTACGATAGGGAAGGTAAGCAGCATATAAGGAAGAACTACTGTGTAGAAATAAAACTTGACAATTTTCATCTTGAGGTGCTTTGGTAAGTGCCAGTAATGACTACAGTCTCTCACAATGACTGTAGCTGTCTATTTTCAATCTGCATTAGTCAAGATAATTTAGAGGATTAGTCCTTCTTACTTAAAGCCCCAAACCGGCCCACTGTTGACACAGGGTGGCCTAGGAAAAAAACCAAAGCCTTCCCAAGGATCCCCTAGGAGTTTCCTTTTATTTACCCTACAGAAGAAAGGACAGGGCGAAAGGGAGTTTTAGCCTGAACCACAGATGGCAAAGGAGACTTGCAACCAGCATCCCAGACCACGCCTGTCCTCCACCCATGCAGACGCCCAGAAGCTGTTTAGCAAACCTTGCCCTGTGGTTTGAGAAAGGATCTAAGTCTACATCCTAACTAGCTGTGGAACAAGACTGATCCTTCTAGTCCACAGGCCCTCACAGAAGACAAGAGGACAAGAAAAGAATGCCCCACGTATGCAAAAGCTACTGAGTGGAAAAGACAGAAGGCATCTCATCCCATGTGCTGTCATAAGCAGAGAGAAAGAAAAAAACTTAGGAAACCTCAAAAGTCAGTCAGGTAGTCAGTGCTCAGAAGGCAGAGAAGATGACAGAGCAGTTCCTCCGGCAGAAAGCAGGGAGGCAGGGACAACCACACAGCAGGCAACTGAGAGGCGGGCGGAAGACTCCCAGTGCTCCCAGCACCTGCCCCTCCTGTTCCCCATAGCTCTCTCATGCGTCTGCACGCATTTCCACAGCTCCATCCCAGTTCACACACGCTCCCTTCTCTGTCAACTGAGCTGAGGTATCCGCAGTTCACAGATGACTAAATAAGACTAAGAACAGTTACGTAACTGCCCAAAGTTACCCATCCAATAATGAGGACTTCAAACTACAAGTCCTGCCCATTTCTGACTAGATAGCCTCATCTCTAGTGACAGTCTACAGCTGGCCTGAGCACACTCTAACCCAGTCGTGAGCACTGAAACATGGCGGTTCTCAGGCCATCCCACACCACCCAACCCTTGTTAGGATTCTCCAGTGTCTCCAGGGAATAAAAAGGGACATGGCCTGTAATTTAGATGATCTCATTGTCTAAATTTAACCTCTCGGGGGCTTTATTAGTCTCATTTAAAAAAATAAAATGAAATAAAAGCCACGCGCCAGTGGTTCACGCCTATCATCCTAGCTACCCAGGAGGCTAAGATCTGAGGATCGCGGTTCAAAGCCAGCCAGGGCAGGAAAGGCCATGAGACTCTTATCTCCAATAAACTACTCAGAAAACCGAAGTGGTGCTGTGGCTCAAGTGGTAGAGCGCTCACCTTGAGCTGAAGAGCTAAGGGACAGCGCCCAGGCCCAGAGTTCAAACCCCATGACCAACAAAAAAAAAAAATGTTCAATTGGCCTAGATTAGAGAGTCTTCCAAGTTACGCACTATAACCCATTGGTAGGATAAGGATGGGTCTGGAGCAGTTAGAAAAAGCAAGTGAAAGGTGACGGATGGCCGACGCACAGCGAGCTCACCGCATAGAGCAGCTCCTCGGGCGTGACGGGGCTGGTGAAGATGGTGCGGAGGCATCGGAGGCACGCTTCGATGAACTTCAGGTCTGGAGACAACAGTCCTGCGAGCAGAGCCGACGCGTGAGGCTCACCTCTCCCCGGGTGACTCGCTACGACTCGACAAGCCCACTCTGACCTTTCTGCGGCTTCCCTTACCCACCTTGCAGTAAGGCAGGGATGATATGGCAGTCCAGGAGAGACTTGACGTTGTTCTCAGTGCCCATCGCGAGACTTCCTAACACCACCGCGCATTCTGCCTTCAGCTCTGTGCTTGAAGCTTCTTGCTGAAGCAAATACAACAATCTACAAAGAAGGAGATTGGGAAAGAGATGAGAAAACCAGAATTAATGCGATAAAGCAACACAAGATAGGAGATTAACATTACCTCCCCCAGGGGGGAAAACATGGCTGGCTGCACTCATCAGACCCTCTGTAGATACTCAGCTATTTCTACTACCTGGTCAGGCACCAGTGGCTCAAGGCTGTAATCCTAGCTACTCAGGAAGCTGAGATCTGAGGATCATGGTTCAACGCCCAGCCCAGTCAGAGAAGTCCCCGTGTCCAATCAACCACTTAAAAACTGGAAGTGGACCTGTGGCTCAAAGTTGTACAAAAAGCTCAGGGGCAGTGCCACAACTGAAAAAAAGAGAAGCATCTGAAAAGATCTAGATCTTTTTTTTTTTTTTTCATTTTCAACAAAAGAGCTTAACAGGGTGTACACCTGAAGTCGTGTACAGTGGTGTCAGTGGAAACAGTGCCATAGCCACACTGCCTGCTTCTCCCTCCCCAGGGGAGTCCCTCAGAATGCAAAGACTCTCACTGCCAAGTTCTGTCGGGTCTTAACTTCAAAGTGGAAATGGAGCCTAAGTCCACACCGGTAGTGATGAGACTGCAGAGCTGAGGCCCCGAGAAGCTCTTCAAGCAAGGAAAGCTCTCTAACTCTCCCGTGTAGGGAATGAGAAAATCCTCCCATTTCTGCTCCAGTCCAGCTTATCAAATTAGTCCTACTCCCCAAATCCCAGCCCTCCACAACTTAGGACAAGTTCAGAATAACACTCCAGCATTCTGACCTTACATGTGTGCACCATCCATGCACGTCTACATATAACATGTGAGCTTTTTGCATAGTTTGAAAGAAGACAGTTTTTCAATAGAGTACTTGTCCAGTATGTGACAGGGAGCCTAGCTTCTCGTCAAGTTTTATAGCGAGAATGATGGAAGGGGAACACGGGTCAGAAAGCGTTGAACGCATAATTTGACATGTTGAATTGAAACCCTTTGTGCAACTATTTAAATATAATGTAACAATTAGTTTATTAAATTATTAGAGATAGAACAGAATATTTAGCTGTCTATCCATCCAGAGAATATGTATATAAAATAAATCTAAATCCTCAGAAAGGGGAGGAGGGTCAATAATATTCCTGAATTCCTAGAGTATTAATAGAATCATTTCTTTCTTTTTTTTGCCAGTCTTGGGGCTTGAACTCAGGAGCCTGGGCCTTGTCCCAAGCTTCTTTCACTCAAGGCTAGCACTCTACTACTTGAACCAGAGCACCACTTCTGGCCTTCTCTATGTATGTGGAGGAACCCAGGGCTTCATGCATTGCTAGGCGAGCACTCTACCACTAAGCCACATTCCCAGCCCCATTCCTGAGCTTCATTTGCTCAAGTCTAGCACTCTACCATTTGAGCCACTTCTGCTTTTTGGTGGTTAATTGGAGATAACAGTCTCATGGACTTTACTGCCCTGGCTAGCTTTGAACGTCAATCTTCAGACCTCAGCCTCCTGAGCACCTGGGAATACAGGTATGAGCCACCTATGCCCAGCCACAATCATTTCTCATTCTACTTGCTGGCATGTGTATGTACATATACAACACATATTACAACCATATGATATAGATAGGCTATATATACAGATTTCCTTAAAGATAATCCAGATACTTCAAAGTGTATCTTTTTTTTTTGGGGGGGGGTCTGGTGGTGGGGCCCGAACTCTGGGCCTGGGCGCTGTCCCTCAGCTCTTCAGCTCAAGGGGAGCACTCTACCACTTGAGCCACAGCGCCACTTCCGGCTTTTTTCTTTTTTCTTATGTGGTGCTGAGGAATCGAACCCAAGGCCTCAGGCATGCAAGGCAAGCGCTCTACCACTGAGCCACCTTCCCAGCCCCAAAGCGTATCTTTTAAATAAAAGGATTTATTTTAAAAATAGGAAAGACAATACAAAATCAAAGGAGCATTCTGACTGGCAGTTAGGAGCTGCATTAGGAACTTAGGAAGAATGGCAGAAAGGAAGTTAGAAGCAAACAGACCTTGGGACAGCTCCTAAAACGATGAGGTTGGCTTTCTGCTTGTTGTTTCCAATGACAGCATTTTTCATGTCTCTGAATGAAGGGAAAGAAAAGAGGATGACGTATACTGACACAACACATTGTAGAGAGAGGGATTCACTCCACTTGCATGCCACATCTTGGATTGGCAAATGTGGAGCATTGACCACCTGGTGTGTGACAGGGAAGGGACAGTGCTAGGCGCTCAGTGACCAGAGGTGCGTGCGTGCTTGCGTGCATGCGTGTGTGAATGACAGCTATGTGGAGAGGGAGAGCAACTACTGAGTTGGTGTAGGGAGGCCCAGTGTCCTGAACATAAAGAAGTACAGAGCACCTTCAACACCCAATGCAAACCAGCAGCCTTTGAACATATGGGACTTGTTTCAGGGGATACTCCGCCTACTTTTCCTCTCTTTCTGACTTTAGTCAGACGACTTCCTGTGATTCCCTTTTATCTGCTTTACTGCCTTTGAGGTTTGTTCTGCTGGTTTTGTTTTTTCAATGGCTGCCTTCGGATTTCAGGGCATCATTTAATGAATTGGGACTTTCTCATGGAGCCACACTGGCCAACGGGGCCTGCAGGGCGCTTCCATCTCCCCGCCTTTCTTTGGGCTGCTAGGAGGGTCTCAAACTTTATTTGTCCACTGGTTAGAAACAACAGAGTACATTGTACTAGTTTGGCTTTACGCAGCCAAGTATATTTTAGGCAGATTAAACTATTTTAAACATTTTCACTGTTCTATATTGGCCAGTATGTTTATTCTAGCCACATGGGGCTCTTTAGCTTTCAGGGAGAAAACTACAGTAAGAGTACCTACGCTCACAATGGGAGAAACATCAACCCCACACCTCCTAACACCTAAAAAATCCTCTCCTCATTGGTCAGATCTGCTGAATCCCGGACACGGCACTTCCCTTCCCTGCGGATGCTGCTTTCCTTCCCAGCCTCACAGCTAGTCCTTTATGCTCCCTTCTTCCCTTTCTCTTATGGCTTCTTTCTGTCTGTTCCAAATGCAGTCCATTCGTTTACCTAGCAGCTACCTACTCATAGTCTACGTTGTGCCAGGTGCCACCGTGGGTACTCTAATCTAGAACTCTCAGCTCGTTTTTCCCCGGTCTCCTCCTCATTCTTCCTAAACTGAAACAAGGTGTCTGTCCCATGATCCCATTCCAAACATTGGAAATAGGAATAAATTGTTTTTATAGACAAAAAAATACACCCCCCCAACCAATTTACCAGCTCTCTTGATAGCAGTTTACAAAAAAAAAAAAAGATAGGAAGAAGGTAGCCAACCTGCTAAAAAGTTAAATGCAGACTGAAGAAAACACAATTAGTAACATGTACCTTGCAGCTGGGTGCTAGTGGCACATACCTGTCATCCTAACAACTAAGGAGGCTGAGATCTGAGGATCACAGTTCAAAGCCAGCCCAGGCAAGGAAATCTGCAAGATTCTTATCTCCAATTAATCACCAAAAAGCCAGAAGTGGAGGTGTGGCTCAAGGGTAGAGCACTAGCCTTGAGCTGAAAAAGCTCAGGAACAACATCCAGGCCCTGAGTTCAAATTCAGAACCAGAAGGGAAAAAAAAGAATTCTTGCTTTGGCTTTAACAAGTTAAGCTGCCTATGATAGAGAGCAAATAAATTCCATTCAGTGTTACAAGGGGAGGATAGTAGATCACTTCTATGAACAAGCTAAAACTAAAAGAGAAAATAATCATAATTCTCCAGGGCTCTAGCAAATCTAAAGACAGTGTAGTCTGTCTGTCTGTCCCTCCCTCCATCACACATCTGTCATCCTCATCCTCACATCTGAGCTTACATCACTGTTACATCCTCCAGAAAGATGACCACCTCACCTCCGGCTTCTCTGTGAAAATACACCTGTCACTTTGTTACAACCGAAGTCTGCTGCCCTTTAAAGGCAAGAAAAGTAAATCTGACCTAGAAGTATCAGAGAAATTCCTACCAATGGATCATTACTTGTCGTGATTCTAGAAAATGTGCCACAGAGAAATACGCACCTTTTTTTTTTTAATTTTACTCTTTATTTTAATAATATCTCAGAAAGTGATTTTGAAAGATTACAAGGTACTGTGTCTTCTTTTTTTTTTTTTGGTCCTGTCATGGGGCCTGAACTCTGGGCCTGGGTGCTGTCCCTCAGCTCTTCAGCTCAAGGCTAGCGCTCTACCACTTGAGCCACAGCTCCACTTCCGACTTTTTTCTTTTTGCTTATGTGGTGCTGAGGAATGAAACCCCGGGCCTCAGGCATGCAAGGCAAGCGCTCTACCACTGAGCCACCTTCCCAGCCCATACACACCTTTGTAAAAGGCAAACTCAACCATCACACAAGACAGGAGCACAGCAAAACTAAGTGAGACCGCTGTGTAATTACCTTTAACTTTACAATACACTATCATCCTCACCACAGCCCTGAAGAGCATCAACCCTGCTGGGGCAGACGAGGAGGGCACGGCTAGCTGTGGAGGCGCTTTCAGAACCCGTATTCACTGACAGCCAATCCTCTGAAGCCACAGCTACTATACTAGATGATTATTCCATTACCTTCAACACATCAGGCCTTACAATAAACTTGACAGAAAATGACATTTAGTAGATTCATTTGCTTTTCTCTTTATATATGTGTGTCTTTTAGTCAGACACGTTTTCCCCAGATCAAAGGAACACAATCTCACAATCTCTTCCTTTTTTTTTTTGTTGGTTGTGGGACTTGAACTCTGGGCCTGGGCGCTGTCCCTCAGCTCTTCAGCTCAAGGCAACAGCTCTACCATTTGAGCCACAGCGCCACTTCCTGCTTTTTCTGTGCATATGGTACTGGGGAATGGAACCCAGGGCCTTATGCATGCTAGACAAGCACTCTACCACTGAGCCACCTTCCCAGCCCAAGAACAAATCTCTTGCCAATCAACTTGAATGTCAGGGGAAGGGGATGCTCTAGTTAAATTACTGCAATTCAACCATTTGATTTTGAGCTCAGCACAGTACTAGGCACTGGAAAGCATACAGAAACGCCGTTCACAGGACCTGTTCTGAAGTATTCACAGTCTTCTTAGAGAGACAGAGGCAACACAATGTAAGGCAGGGCTGGGTTATCACAAAGCAGTCACAAGACTAAGAAACCAGATGCTAAGTGACCCAGACAGATTTCTATGGCAAAGGTAAAGAACCAACACAATCCCAGGAAAGTAGATGCAGAGGGAAAAGCAGAATACAGCCCATTTTCTGAGCAATGCGAGGATCCTGGACTACCTACCCAGCCCAAGGAAGTGAATGTGCTTTCCATCAAAAACCCAAGTCAACTTACAGATTTACTGTTTACTTGTACACTATGTTTACTTTTACTATATACACTAAGTGCAAGGGAAAAAGGCTTGGAAATTGACAGTAATTTAGTTCATTCTTATAAATTACAATGTGATACGTATACTTGGAGCATAAATAATTTTAGATACAGTTCTGATCTGTATCAAAACAAATCACAAAATGCTGTAAATATTTAAGTCTTTCTACAGTATCTATGGTTCCTTAATAAAGAGAACAGCTGGGCGCTGGTGTCTCAAGGCCTGTCATCCCAGCTACTCAGGAGGCTGATATTTGAGGATTCTGGTTCAAAGCCAGCCTGGGCAGGAAAGTCCATGAGATCATATCTCCAATAAACCACTCAGAAAACTGGAAATGGCACTGTGGCTCAAGTGATGGCGCATTTTCCTTGAGCTGAAGAGCTGACAGGCTGCACCCAGGCCCAGAGTTCAAGCCCCATGACCAATACATAAACAAACAAACAAACAAACAATTAATTTGGGGGCTTAAAGGCATGGCTCAAGTGGTAGAGAGCACAAAATCCTAGTACTAGCAAAACCACAACAAAACAATACAAAACAAAGAGGACAATTTTGAAAATTAAACCCTGGCTCAGAAATTAGGGTGTTTATTATAAAACTACTTTATAATATAAGATTCCATATCAATTTACATTTTCCAAAATCAAAGTGTAGAGTAGCTACATTAATAAGTACCCAAGCACCCGAACACTTTTTTTTTTCTTTTCAGTTGTGGGGCCTGAACTCTGGGCCTGGACGCTGTCCCTCAGCTGTTCAGCTCATGCCTAGCACTCTACCACTTGAGCCACAGTGCCGGAAGGGCTTTTTCTGCTTATGTGGTGCTGAGGAATCGAACCCAGGGCCTCATGCATGCAAGGCAAGCGCTCTACCACTAAGTCACTTTCCCAGCACCCACTTTTTGAGGCCTATTATTCTTTAACTCTACCCAATAATGTCTAATGAACATCAAAAAATATATTAGAACATTATGGAATAATGAGAAGTCTACAGATATAAAAAAGGCATATACTAAAATACATAAATACATAGCTACTTGTGGTATTCACAATACTACACTTATACACACCCAGATTGCTAGTGTATTTAAGCAAGAATTACAGAAACTTGATGTAATAAATTCTAGATAACCCTGCCTCTCTTTTAACCATAGTTCTCTGAGCAGATCTGGTTTAGAACATACTGTTTTAAATAAGCAGGACTCAAACTGTTACATCTGGTGTTAAATGTTCTTTGTATGTATTTATTGTGTATATTTATTAGAAGAATAACAAATTTTTGGTAGCACTAGGGTTTGAACTCAGGACCTCCCATTAATTGGCTTGCTTACTCAGCTCAAGACTGCTTGAGTTGGGCCTTCTGCTGGTTATTTAGAGATGGAGTCTGATGGAATTTTCTCCCCAGGCTAGTCTCAAACTGTAATTCTCAGATTTCAGTCTCCTGAGTAGTTATGATTACAGGTGTGAGCCACTAGCACCCAAAAAGGAAATAAGTTTTTAGGATATTAACCAAGAATTATGTTAAAACTATTTAACTTAAAAATTTCAAAAAGGGGGGCTGGGAAGGTGGCTCAGTGGTAGAGCGCTTGCCTTGCATGCATGAGGCCCTGGGTTCGATTCCCCAGCACCACATAAGCAAAAAGAAAAAAGCCGGAAGTGGCGCTATGGCTCAAGTGGTAGAGTGCTAGCCTTGAGCTGAAGAGCTGAGGGACAGCGCCCAGGCCCAGAGTTCAGGCCCCATGACCAGACCCCCCCCCAAAAAAAAAAAGTTTCAAAAAGCCTCATGCTTTGTGATAGGAAGCTCAGGCAGGAAGGTATATGTCCATAGTCTATTGAAATCTTGGGCACTTCATTTTCTAGAATCAGAAAAACAAAATAATTATTATGAAACCAACCTCTTCAGTAGATTAAAATTCCCACCCCCCCCCCCTTTATTTTTTTGGTGCCAGTCCTAGCCAGGGCTTGAACTCAGGGCCTGGGCGCTGTCCTTGAGATTCTTTTGCTCAAGGCTAGCACTCTATCACTAGAGACTCAGCACCACTTCTGGCTTTTTGTGCTTAACTAGAGATAAGAATCTCACAGACTTTCCTGACTTTGGAGCTTTCAGCAAGTCAGAAGACCTATGGACAAAGCAGCTTAGCTTTGCCATGGTTGAGCTAGAGTAAATATAAGATACTATGTGGCTGGCAATATTAACTAATACTGGAAGAGAGGAAAGGGACCAGCTTGCTCAAATCTGCTCACGACCCTGCTCTGTGCTCCCCTGTCCCAGAACAGCTCAGGCCTTTAGTCCTGTGTGTTTCCCAGACCTAAGCTAGACAGCCTCTTTACAACTCTCGTGTGAATTGTAGCTGGGGTGCTGAATGGCAAAAGGAGGGACAAGTCACCTTTGCGTCTCATGGTTTCCTATCTGTCCGGCTTTATTTGTGTAAAGTATAAGCCCCTCCAGTAGTTGCTTTAAAATGTTTCCTCTTACTAAAGACGTGGAAATTTTGGAGAAAAGGGCATGTAGGTTATTAAGAGTTTATCTAAATTTCTAATGACTGACTGCTTTCTCAATTCTGGTATTTCAGACATCATGTAGAAATCTAATAACAATTGGCGGGTTAACTAGAAATAAAGCAAAACAAAAGCAAAAACAAAAAGAACTAACAAGATTTACCAGCTTATTCTCCCCCTTGGCTTTCCGGTTACAAAACTGCAATTTTATTCTCTTCTTTTGTGGCTATTGAAAGCAGCAAAAGCATTCTCCAAAGGAAATTCTTTTATTTATTTTTTTAATGTGAAACAAGTATTCTGGGGGCGGGAGTGGGAGGGTGGCAGGGAAGAAGCTAATCAATCAGGTCAGCTACAACTATCCAACAGACAAATCTTTTATAATAAAATACGAAAAGGCTCTTTCCAAAAAGAAGCCAAAGGGAGGAAAAGAGTTTTAGCCCTGCATTTACAGTAGTAGGTAGCAGATTAAAACAAAACAAGCAAGACTTTTTGAAAGACTCTTAAATACATACTACTTACATGACACCTTGTAGAACTTTCTGGGGATCAGGGTCAAATAGCCTGTCAACATAGTGGCGACTGCTAGCTGTTACTTCCTAGAAAGTAGGGGAGAAATGATGACATCTGAAGCCATGCGTATCAAAATTCATAGCCCCACCCCCAACAGCAACCAGCTACATCATCTACCTAAAGGAAGGTGCATAGATTCCTACTGAACACTTCTTACTGCCTTCTCCTCTCTGTCTGGAATATGCAGGCAAGGGGTTTCTTTCTTGAAAGAACTGCAAACGGCAGTGTTCCCTTCAAGATGTCAAAGATCAGTATTTTTTTTCCAAGAGCACCCCATATCAAAAAAAAACAAAGTCCATGGAATTACTGCAAATATTGAAACTGAAACTGGCAGAAGAGTTTAGGAAATTAACATAGTTACAAAGTACAAAACTTTGTTCATTTAAAAGCTAAAGGGGAAAAATACTAAGGGTATTTCTGTAGCTACTTTGCTAATTAATTTTGAGAAAAGCTTGGGAAGCATGACAAATGGCATGTTGGAGAAGAAAGAAGACACCAAATCCCATTGGAACTCACTCTGGGGAATCCGGGCAGATAGTCTCCCTAGACTTAGGAAGCATACAAGTCACATATGTATAAGTATTTTAATATAGAGAAATATAAGCTCAGTGCTGGTGACTCATGCCAGAAGTCCAAGCTGCTCAGGAGACTGAGAGCTGAGGATCTCAGCTGAAGCCAGCTTAAGCAGGAAAGTTCCAAGAGACTAATGAAGAAAGAAAGAAAGAAAAGAAAGAAAGAAGGAAAGAAAGGAAGGAAGGAAGAAAGAGAGAGAGAGAAAGAAAGAGAGAGGGGGGAAGGAGGGAGGGAGGAAGGAACGGAGGGAGGGAGGGAAGGAAGGAAGAGAGAGGGAGGGAGAAACAGACAGACAGACAGACAGACAGAAAGAAAGACAGAAAGAAAGGAAGGAAGGAAGCTGGAAGTAGAGCCATGGCTCAAGTGGGAGAACACTAGCTTTGAGAAAATTAAAAAAAAAACAGCTCAGGGACAGTCCAGGCTCTAAGTTCAAGGCCCAAGACTACACCAAAGAGAGAAAGGGGGGTGGGGGGAGGGCATGCGCACACACACAGACCCATAGACACACAGACACACACGGGAAGGCGGGGATAATTGATGTGACTTCCGTTTAGTATATACAGAGGATGGAGAATTTGTCCCTTGAACTGACTCAGAAAAAAATAAAAACTTCAGTAATAGAGTTGTCACACTTCTGTAAAGGAAAGCAATTCAGAAATGGGCTGATTAAAGGTCCAACAGAGCTATCTATCTAGTCTAAACTAGATGAGGCTGGGTAAGTTGGAGAGTTAGAACAGAAAGAGTAACTGGAGCCAGGTAGCGCGTACCTATAATCCTAGCAATTGGGGGGTGGGGGTGGGGAGGGGTGAGGCAGAAGGATCTCAAGAAATTCAAGGCCAGATGGTTAAACTATGTCTTCAAAAATGAAATACTAAAAACAAAACAAAACAAAGCAAAACAAGGGAGATACCTCCTTTTACTTGTATTTTGGGGTTATGGTTATTTGTTTACTTGGATGGCTAGCTCTTTTATATTTAGTTTCAATGTTGCATTATTTAAAACAAAGAGAATACACTAAAGCACCAGAGGAGAAGGCTTTGTTGCCCACTTGCTTTCAGAAGTGGGCTGGAATATGCTCATACATTGCCACCCGTTAGCCATAAATCATCACCAACAGGAAGTAACTTTTCCAGCGTAGTCGGTAGAAGATGGAACACCAGCTTGAAACTCGGAGTTACAAAACAGTAGCTTTGGAGAACTACAAACTCTCGATTCGTGGCAATGAAGGGAACCCAAATGAGCATTATGCTTTCCTTTTACACCCTCACTGGCATCTCAATTACTTTACCACTTCCAATATGAACCCCATGTATGAAAACCCAACAGTAGAAGGAAACAAATCACTGTACCCACTACAGACCACTAAAGCACAAGGTCGTTTTCTTAACAGAACCGAATCAGAGTTGGAAGGACTCTTTCCAATTCCTTGCTGTGCAAACACATCCTCTGATGATCTTCATCCAGAGGTCAGATCATTAAATCTTAAAGGCCACAAGCAACAACACAAACATATCATGAAGCAATATACATCAAGAGCAAAAGAAGCTAGGTACAGCAGAGGGGTGTGTGCGTGTGTGTAGGGTGTGTAGGGTGTGTGTGTGTAGAGGGTGTGTGTGCAGAGGGGTGTGTGTGTGTGTGTGTGTGTGTGTGTGTGTGTGTGTTCTGGGCTTGTCAAACTCTTAGCCTCTCTTCTCTTTGGTGGTGGATCCTGGTTTTACTTCTCCCTCTTTTCCGTTCCACAGCTCTACATCTCTAGCCTCTCAGTGTGGTTAGCAATCATGAAAAGGCTGAAAGACACGTGTCTGAACAGCAACCCTGCTGCTCTGCATCTGGCTCGTGGATGCCATTAGCGCTGGGATGACAAGCAGAGCAGGCCCAATGTTTCTTCCTACTGACTGTGCGCGCTCTTCTGTGTCCCCTGCTAGTATTGGAAAACACAAGTCTGCCCAAGACCAAGGCAGCACTGAGGAGGAGTCACTAGCTGGGAGAAGTCAGGGAGGAAGGCTTCGCAGCAAGGAGAGTGACACCAGGAAGGACAGGGAAAAACAAACAAGCCAATGTTAGGATCTCAGCCCCAGGACATGTAAACCAACATGCTTACACATCCGCAAGTGTATCTGCTGCTGGCTGTGCAGAAGAAGGGCACACACCTCCAAAGAGAAGACAGCTCAGGAAAGCCAGGGCCAGCAAGCACCTCTCACAAGCCTGATGCAGCCAAGTGAGGCTACTTGGGTGCCACTGTGGTGTTGTGCCAGCCCACAGTTTAAGTTAGCTTAGTGCTCAACACTGAGATTGCGCAACAGAGAGACCCCTTGCCAACTCTCCCGGTACACTTTGGGAGTGATATTGGGCCCGCTGCCTTGTGACTAAAAAGGCTTTATTTGCTCAGACTCTTAACAGGCAGCAATAGCCTATGGCCTTGGAGCTATCCATGGTGCTTGGGCCTGATCTGGCCGCTGCCACTGGCTTTCCTATCATAGTGCCCCGCTAAGGGGCTACCTGACGCACCATCTGCACTGCAATAATCACCATCAGGAGCCACTTCATACCCAGGGCCCCCCCCCACACCATCTGTTAACACAAAGCCCTGTCTGTGGGCGTGACATCTTCATGGGAGATGGCTAGCATATTCTGAACCAAAAAAAAAAAATGAAGGGTCTTGAGAACCAAACCCCACACAACACCTTGTATGAATCTTTAAGATACTTTGATTCCCGTCCTCCTATGACTTAAAATTGTGTTTTGGCTCAGCATATGCTGATGACAGACACCAGGACAAGTTAAAGGTATTATTCAGAACTAATGCTGGGATTCAAGTACCCACAGCTCCTTCAAGTTATATATGTTTGTTCTGATGAAGAGGATGTGGAGCGGCATACCCGGGAAAGGCTAAGAACCAGTTATCTATAAATGTGTCAGCAGACGAGACCACATACATGGCCAAAGAGAGAAAACTTCTGGGTGCCATGCCCGATCAAGACAATGCTCATGGCTCTTCCTTTCCCTTGGTCTTCTTATCCCATCAGTCATCATGCACATTCAAGCTGAATAAAAAAAATTTGAACCCTCCTCCCTGACCAGGGCAAAAGATGCTAATATTCTGTAATAATTTTCCCGGTGGCAAGCATCGCCAAATATTAACAGGTCCCATGGACTGGAAATGCTTTTATATCACAATTTATTTTCCAATATAAAGCACACTCTTACTATCCTCCTTCCCAAATACCCCTGTTATGAATATACCAAAGAACCTAATTTAGTTCTTTATTCTTTTCAGTTTATGGAATGATGTCAAAATGATAAGGTTGAGGAGCACTCCTGCAAAGCTGACCTCCAGTGGAATGCCTTTCATTCCTATTCAAATGGTCCAGAGATCCTGGCAGGGTTCGGTGATAGCGGCTTCGCTCTGACTACCAGAAGGAAACAGGAATTTTGTTTTTGTCGAATAATACCCTCACATGGCAGATGGTATTGTGAAACAACCGCCAACTCAGAAATCGCAAAGATACAAGCCACAGGCTGGGGATGTGGTCAGTGGTAAAGCACTCAGACAGTGCATCTGAAGCCCTGGGTTTATATTTACATACTGAGTATTTTAAAATTTAAAGACTCAATATACAGGCCTTTCTGATTCTTCATAGTTCAAGAGCCTTCCTCAATACTGGGTGTCTGAATCTAGGTGGTGATTTTACTTTAAAGACACAAGAGGCCCTGAAGCACACAATAAGCACCCCGGATTCTTCAGATCCTGCCACTGAAGAGAAGGAAGTTCCTCTCCTGACTAACTCATGACCACCTGCTGATGTACGCTGTGCTTAGTGGTAGGGTAAACTAATACACATTTTTAAAGGTGCTCAACAGATTTCATTCTGTATTTATGATTAAAAGCCAAGGCTGAAGCAGACTTGGGTTTGTCAGTTGCCTACGTAAGAGAGCAAATCAATATGAAACAATAGGCAAAGCAAGAACCCAAAGAACTCAAGTTCTATCTGGATTCTGAATAGCCTGTAGTTCTAATGGCTGCTTGTCAAAAAAAAAAAAAAAAAAAAAGAGCAGACTGGCATTTGGAAGACTGTAGAGAAGGCGGTTTATTTAGCCTGACCTGTCTATATCAGCCTACAATGTGATCAAAGGCATATTTACCTTGACACTCTCACACCAAACTCAATCCTCTTAACAAGGTCTTGCTTGCACGGGCATAAATTTTCAGTTTGTTAAGTCTAATTTTCTTTTTAAAAATAGGTCTAATAATTCTTCACCAAATGGAAGATTCTGTGGATTTTTTCCAGTTTTATTCTAAAAATTTCACATTTTACAATAAAATCTATCACTCACTTTAAGCTACTTTTTGTGTAAGGTACAAGGTTGAGATCAAAGCTCTTTGGGGAGCAGTAATCCTCGCTACTCAGAAGGCTGAGATCTGAGGATCACAGAGCAAAGTCAGCCCAAGCT